AACTCAGAAACGGTATTCCCAGAGGTCGAATACAAAGAAATCCCTATGCATGCCACGCAGCGCACGAGCGCGAACTTGGAACAAGTTAGCTCTGAATTCGGAACAATGAATTTAGCAACTATACTAAATAATGCAATTCAAGAGTCTGGCTTCACACTAACAAAAACGTATTTCTGTGTACCGTCTCTTTGACCGATGCTAGAATTCTGACAAGCAATTTTCAAATATGACAAGAAAAGTGTTGACGGCGGTGAATTATACAGTTACCCGAAATTGTGGCCTTGACCTTAGCATGAATTTCACAAGCAATGTTTGGAGTTTCGGCATACATTTGTTTATTTTGCTTTTTCAATTCCCCATTATTTGTGCATGATTTTATTTAGTTCTATTGGGAACGAACCCATTTTTGATAACCACTGTCCAATCAATCAATCATTTATTTTGGTTCTATTTATATGCACGCTATTGCTTTTCTTGACACATATTCAATATGATCGCTTGGAAGTGCCCTGCCTTGATCATACGAAACCATTTGTGTTTGTAAAGCGAAATTTCTTGAATGACACAATATAGTCATCTATATTCTTGCTACAGCATCCTTGCTTCATACGAATTTACCGACGCAAGTGAATGTATATGTAGAATAAAACAAGTTTTATCTTAAATTTTTCCCGTTTCTTGGCCTTTCGGTTCGTAATTCTACTGCACAGTAAAGGCCCGTATACACGACAGTGTGCGAACTCACCGCAGCGTATTTTTTTTGGTTTGTTTTATTTTATTTGTCTACGGTGGACTGCGTTTCGTTGCGCTGCGTTTGTCTGAGTTGGCGAACGCTTGAGTAGCGTTTTCTGACCGCAGTTCACCGTACTGACAGTCTTGCTCTGTCCGTTCTGGTGGTTTTCTGAGACAACTGGTTGTATTTCATGTGACAAGCGAAAGTTTTTTGCTATTTTTATCGTTTTCGAGTTGCTTTTATAACGGTAGAAGTTCAGTTCCAATAGGGCTACCTGTTACCGTGCGGTTTGTAATATCACCAGTACCGGAACCGGTATGGTACCGGTACATTGGTACGGTAACGGTATGATATGCGGAGTACCGTACTTCGTGTTGGCAAGTGTGTTCTTATCGTTAACGGTTATTCCAAACCGTTCAGCTTTCACCAATTCGATTTTTTTTACCAGATTTTAACTGAACATTGAATATTAAATTATGGTTCCATAGGGTACGGTACCGGTACGCACGGAAGATAGGTCTGACGTCACGATTAGCGCATACCGCACAGTGTGCAGAGTCGCGGTGCGGTGAGTTATATTGCTGTCGTGTATACGGGCCTTAACACGGACCACAATTTTCTCGATGCAATAAATGAGAAAAAAAACTTCAAAATTATGCGATGACCAGGAGCGTTCAACTTCGGTCATAGAGGTTCATGGAATCAAATCGATATCCCATGAGAGCATGAAACTTCCTGGGTCTGCACGCGAGAATGCAGTTCCGAGGGAGCGAATTGTTGCCATAATGATTTCACGCAGTCTTCCGAGAACAGACTTTTGCGCAAATATAGTTCTGGAGCTTATTTTAATTGGAATTTTATTTGCAAAAAGGACGTTTTTCATGAATCATTCAATGACTGGAGACAGGGTTAAGTAGCAAGCGACAACATTTATAATTTGTGAAAATTAGAATTTATACTGTTAATAGATGCTGCTCAAGTCATATTCACATGGAAGTCCATTCCTTCATTACGAAAGTCTCTCAAAATTACAACCTCCCGAAAGTCCGATTACACAATATTATTTTCTCGTAAAAGCCCTTTGTACAGTCTATTCTCTCACCGAACTTTATCTCCTTTACTCAAGTTATAATCCAAGCGATAACGTCCCAAAACCAGAGTTTAAAACGTTGTCAGAACTAAAACATTTTCAATCAAAATACGGAGCAAACATATTTCGAACATGTTTGACCAATCGCCCATGTCTGGAAACGTACAACTTTTTATTTCTAAATTCTCGAGTTCTGAATTATTTATCGCTTCAGGGACAGGGGTTTCGCCTCATTACTCGATCACATTGCCGGATGTTTACCGTGTTTTCAGAACAATAAACGGTCATTACGAGGACAGATCCAAAAATAAAAAAGACAAGCGCAAGTGCCTATCAAAAAGACAATTACTCTCCTGAAATGAAATATAATACAAAAAACTTCAAAATCCCACAATTAAGCGTTGTTAGAATATGTGATGTGAGAATACCCAAATAGAAATTTAATATCGCCTGTTTTGTCTCAGAATTGCAATGTCACTTTCTTATTCGGAAAGAACGGAAACTAAAATGCATTTGAAGATTTGCCAATTTTGCTGAATATCGTCCTGTATGTTACCTCCGGTACCATCAGTTCAAAAGAAATTATATTATCTTCAAAACACATTACCTTATCTGACAACAATAATAAAAAGATAGATTTAGTTGCGTTTTTAGATCGGCTTTCCTGCTTTCGACACAACATAAAAATCTAATTTCACGTCGCAAAAAAGTTCGGGCGATTGCGCCATGACTTTTCCTACTAATACAGACAACACAAAGCCTCCCCTAACTAGTCTTCGTAGATCACCCTAAGCTTGTACCCCGATTCATTTCATTTTAAATACAATCACTAAACCACAAAGCCAGGATTATAAACTTCGTGGAGTAATGAATAAAACATTAGATGCAATGTCCGATTTAAAAGTTTAAACGAAAAAGAAAGGGAAACGAACAATAAACAGACGTAAGGATATAGTACATCTATGAATGAAATGCATAAATTGTTTTCAACATTTAGTGAAAAAGACACCCACAAGGTATAAGTCAAAAAGGTCGACTAAATTATAACATTTTTGACCTCATTTAAGGAGGTGTTGCGTTCATATTGTGGTTTTCAAAAAATTAGCAGCATGCAAATGATAAAATGTACAAGTAAAAGACATGATAATTTCAATTTAATAGACAGTAAACGATCCTTTGTAAACTGATAAAAAAAATATAACTCTTTTGAATACTAATATTTGGAACATGAAAAACGGCAGAAAATACTGAGAAACGGGTTTACTGATTTATATGTATTGTCTATACTTCACACAGATGATTCTATAACTGTTAATTACCTTCTGATTCTGGAAAATATAATTTTTTTTGATTATTTATTAAATGCGTTTACTCTTAATTGTATTTAATCAAATTTCGATTTTGAAAGGCTAAGTATAATCTCAAAATAACTTTGCAGACAGTATTATTTGTGAGAATACACATAGCAAAATATAAGATAAAAAAAATACTCAAGAACACAATCAATAGTAAGAACTACCGTAACTATATGCACACATTTAAAATAAACCTTCGGTACTCCTGAAGTATGCGCACCAAGATGTCGCACAACCTGAACCCTAAGCTGGCACACAACTTGAGTTCAGGTTGTGCGCCATCTTGGTGTGCATACTTCAGGAGGTCCAAACCTTCTTTCCCCTTCCATTACTATCTTCAGAATGACAGCAGAGTATCTTCGCATGTCAACTATTACTTGCTGACTTTTAATCTCTAGCAACAACTTTCAATTTGAATTCTTTGATAGGACGAACACCCAAAGCAAACGTCAGTTCCAGCGGTGGTTTCTAAATTTAACGAAGATTATGGTTAAGGATCTTTTAAAATGGGCACGCCAGAAGTGTGTGTACCAATATGGTAGTAACTAATTTGGTTCGCCTACTTTATATTGAGTTGTGTAAAGGAACGGGAACCAATGGGCAGGGGATATATTCACTTGGCTAACATAGACAGTCCCCAAACTCTTAATAGGACTAAAATAAGGAAAATCAGGAATAAAATTATGGCCTAACCCCAACCTGGTGCACTCACTACGGGAGTACCCTACAAAGTCCCGAAAACCTCGACTAGTGAGTCCAAGTCAATCGCTGAGTTAAAGTCTCACAGACAATCAGATGAGTCTGAGTTCAAGTCATCTTCAGTAAGTTGAGTAGAGTCACTTCGAGTATTTGATAAATTGTGATCGAAGACTTGACTCGTCCCAACACTGCTATTACTACATAACTATCAGAATATGATATATTTGTATTGTATTTTACTTACTACAAAAGAGGATTTTACACTTGCACTGGGTGCCAATAAATTTAGAATTTTACATAATTCATCACAATGATCGGGTAATTTAGAGTACCTCAAGGCAAAACCAAAACAAATGATTTGAATAGAAAGCATGAGTCATCAAATTACTGATTGAACAGAGTATGATGAGACGCAGGTTGGGTAAAATGATTTTTGAACTTCTCGTTAGTGCATGGCAGTTCATGTCCATGCATCAGAACAAATGAAACTGGGAAACTAATCTAAATGAGCAGTTAGGATAGGATTTACATATTTATCCCGACGAGAGGAAAGCCGTAAGACAGCTTAACCATATGGTGAACCACGGCCTCTCGTTCGGTTACCATTCCATGTCGGGTATGGGATTAGTTAGTTATTTGTTTTTCGGAAGCATGGACTTGATAGTGGAGGAAGCCGTAACCGACCAGCGGTTACGTAAAACACCCCACGGCGACGATGAGTCTAGCAATACTCTCGCACATAACCATAACCATTTCGGATTTGAGTAATTAAAGGTGCGGTGGCGAGAGTATTCCTAACGCTAGCACAATGAGTCACACTGCCGCGCCCAGTTTCTTAATGAAAGACGAGACACCACTCAAGCCCAACTAAATCCTTTTCAAATTCAAACCGGGCCATACTAATGTCACAGGACAAATAAATCCAGATGATAAAAACAAAAGTTTATACTTACAGGTGTGTCTTCCGAAGGCATAATCTTGAATTTGTGTAAAATTTGACAAAAAGCCATTTTGATTTCCATTTCAGCAAATCTCAATCCAATGCAGTTACGAGGTCCCGCACCAAATGGTTGAAATACCATCGGATCAATTTGTGACAATTTGTTTTTCTAAAAAATATTATTTCTAAGTTTAAATTGAGTACCATAGCTTGTGATGAACTAGAAGACTAATTTGATCTAAAATCTATTACAATAATTCCATGACACTTTTTATTCAACTTAATGATTTTTAAAGGATAAAACTTCCAAGACAAATACGACAAAAAAATAATTTTGTTCGGAAACCAATCATTGGATTTTCGGACCTCCAGAAGTATGTGCACCAAGATGGCGCATAACCTGGACATAGTATGTTTACCAGGTTAGGGTTCAGGTTGTGTGCCATCTTGGTGCACATACTTCTGGAGCATCGGATTTCCATATTCATCATTCAGAAAAGTTGATTGTATTATGGCAAACACAGACTCTCATCCGATTACCCGTATGGTCCTTATATGAGAATAGTGAATTAGATACTTGTTTTTTATGCATAGACTTGATGGTGTTGCAAGTTATAACAAAGTAGTAAATAGTCCAGCAAACCTTCTTGCATATAACTGTCCCTCACAAGATTCGAACCTGTGTACCAAATCGATACAGGGTAATCAGTGATATGATGCCAAAAAAATGTTGCATACACTGACCGGTTTCATTCATTCGGTTCTCATATTTTGTATATTTGAAAATCACGAAATTCTCTACTTTGTAATTTTGTTTTTGATAAAAGAAAATGACATCCTCTCAAAATAAACCCTAGTGTTATTTTCAAAAGATAATTTAAATAAGACCGTCTTATTTTCGGGGAAACATGATAGTACAATAAATCAAATGCAGAGACCTTAAAGTCGAAAACACAACACATGATATGTCACAATATTTATCGTTTACCTGTCAGGTATAAACTCCCATGGTTTGTCCCAAAACTCTGGATCATGAGCAAGACCAAATACAGGGAATTGCACTGTTACACCTTTAGGAATTGTAAAACCATTCACAGTGGTTTCCTTTCTGCAGACTCTGGAATTTCTGCAAACACAGAACAAAAATTCCTATAAATAAAATGTAAAATACATTATTAAATCAACCTTAAATAACTAAAAATAACATATCTCTTTCCACGAAATATCAAGTATATTTATGAGCTTTCGTTAGATCATAGTCTAAGTTCTTCAGATAAAACAAGATATGGCTCATATATAAGATATAACTAGCTTATATACTGCATTTCCAGACTATTGAGTCACTTTTGGGACCAAATTTGGGGGACCGTCTTATTGGGTGGCTACTGGCTATGCTTATTTTATTTTTTATGGCAGGGTGGACTTATTAGCAGGGCAATACTGTACTTTTGTTCAAGTAAACTGTCAATTTACTGAGGTCCAAGACATGTAGTTCGAAATATTCAAAAAAATTATTCTTCATATTTGTTAAATTTCACACAGTAGATAGGATAGGATTTACATATTTATCCTGGGGGAGAGGAATGCCGATAAGTCTGTGTCGGGTATGGTATTATTTAGCCAGTTATTTGTTTTCAGAAGCATGGACTTCCTAATGGTGGAGAAGCCGTAACTGACCATCAGTTATGTGAACCACCCTACGGCGGGAACGAGTCCAGCAATCCTCTCGTGCATAACTATTCTCGCATGGGATTCGAACCTGCGAACCCAAGCATGGAAATCAGGGGTGCGGTGGCGAGCGTATTCCTAGTGCTTAGCACGATGCGCCACACCACCAAGCAACACAAGACCAAAAAAACATCTACATATTAATGGACAAGATGGGAGATGGTCAATAAATATAATAAACTCACACTACAATTGGCATATATAGTCTCATTGATTCATTCAAACACATGCTGAGATATTTCATATTATTGACACTTTCATAGTCGAATCTTCCCTAAAATACAAAATATAACATTGATGTCAAAGGTTGAAAAAAATTTCACAAAAAAACTGAATCTGATTTATAGAAGCGAGTTGCAGAACCCTTATATATGAAAATTCATATATAATAGATATTTTACAAGAAAATTGGCAAAAATGAGAAAAACACATGGAAGTTGAGTGGGAACCAAACCTGCTAGAAACTAAAATCACAAGAACAGGCTATTAACTATTAAAGCAGGTACCAGATTAAGATCAACAATTTTCAGTGGAGACATTACTTTAAATTTACTTTACTCTCACACACTCCTGGTGAGCACATAGTTTCAACTTACCTTTGCTTTAAAAGCTTCATCCATTTCTTTTCTAAGTTTATCTTGGACATCTTGATGAAGTGCAAGATTATAAGCAAGAAAAGTCATTGTATTTGCTGTATTCTCGAACCCAGCTCCAATCATGAGCATTGCATTCCCAATCAACTCTTGTCGGTTTAAACCTGGCACAAGAAAGCTAAAGTCATTGAAAGTTTCAAAAACGTTGACAATCTGCTGTTTTCCAGTATAACCGAATTTTACAGAAGGTTTGCCATTGCATTCATTATTGTTTGTTGAAATTTTTTTGACCCTGAAAATTGACTGAAATGTGCAAACAAAAGGTTGACTCTAGTTCTCATGACCAGTAAAAACTCAAAAGTCCATACACCAAAAGATTTCAAGACACTGAGTAATGAGTCAAACAAAACAATGCATGCAAGTTAAATCACCCAACCACAGAATAAATAAATCAGTTAGATAAATAAATCAGATCAATTTGTGCTCTCCATTTACTTCATTTAAATGATTCTATAAACCTATGACTCAATAATTAATTTTTTCAATCCTATTTGATTTATTTCACTAAACTGATACTAGTCAATTAAAGATTTTCTAAAATTTAAAATATTTACTATGATAAACTCAAGATAGGTCGATATCAAACTTCAAACCCGAGTAAATCTTGAGTGAAAAAAACCTCAAGATTCAAAACCTTGTGACATGACCAGTGTCCAAATCATAGTTCAAAGTAATAGGCTAATCAAAAATACAACAAATATGGGAAATAGAACTTTAAATAAAATTTCATCTTTACCTCTTTCTGAATCTTCATTTATTTTATCATCCGCGACTTCAGCATCCAACATAAGTTGAAGTAAATCTTTGGCAACTTCTTCCTGATGTGAAAAAATATTATTAATGATGAAGATTGTAGATGCTTGCCACTTAAGAGTGAGAACAGTGAGCTTTAAATCTCAGGTTTCCGTCATTGCAAATCAAGCTACAACTCAATACCACATATCTGGAGTTTGGCAAGCATTGTTAAATATAAAACACTTAACTCCTTCCAATACCCCAATTCCTGATTGCCAGCATATGCTGATATAAGGGAGTGTCCAATAGAAAACAAATTAAATGATAATCAAATAAAGAAAAAATTTTCAGACAACTTTAAATACAAATATACTGAGTTAACAGCAAAATAAATCGGTATATTAAAAATTCAAGTTTTGTTTATCTAGTTTATAAATACACATAGATTTAATTTATTTACCAAATGAATTTATTTGATATTGAAAAAGATTTTTTTTAGCGTCATCTTTGTTTAAAAGCATACGATAAACTTCCGAAAACTAACCTGTCCCCTTTTTCTTCTTTCAATGACGACATTGGTAAAATTACTGATATATTGTAATGCTTTGTAATCGAATATACTGACGTCTAATTTATTGCAAATCCTTTCAAATGGTGGACAGATGACTGAAAAAATGATGTAAAACTTGTAAAATATTCATTTTTGATCTCTTAATTGAGGAGAAATGACAGTGTGTCTAAATAGTCCAATAATCAGCACTCCAGAAATATGTGTATCAATATGGAGGTAACTAATTTTGTTCGCCTATTTTACATCAAGTTGTGTAAAGGGACTGGAACCTATGGGCAAGGGATGTATTCACTTGGCTAACACAGACAGTCCCCGAGCTCGTAATAGAACTAAAACAAGCAAAAACGGAATAAAATTATGGCCTAACCCTAACCTGGTACACACACTACAGAAGTACCCAATAATCCTATAAATTCCTAGAACTTACAACACATGAATGCAGTAGGACCAGCAAATCCAGTAGCGAACAGTTTTCGAACTTCCAATACCAGTTGGGAATCTTTCCCATCAACAGATTGAATATGTGCTCTCGTTCCCAATGCAGCAGAAACTATCATATCCAGCGATAAATTTGAAAATAACCTGAATGTAATAATATTATTTAGACTATATTTGTTCCCAATTAGATAATTCATGATATATCGGTTTGATTCAATTCTTTAGTACAGATTACCAACCTCTGAAGAGGTTGCTAGAAAATTAAAAATGTGGAAATTTTTAAAAGCTCCAAAGAAAAAAAAATGACAGCTATTCATTCAAACTGTTTAAAAACTTTAGAATATTCAAACTATCGTTTTTTATTTAACATTTGTAACTTATGCAATCCCACTTTATAAGTATCAAACTTCCAATAATTTGATAATTCTGTATAACCTATGATCATTTTTTAAAATTACATGTCAAGTCGACTATGGCCATATAAAGGAAAATAGAAACAAACAATTACAAAGCAAGACTTTTATATATTCAAATGTCAAGGTAGTGTATGTAGTATGCACTTACTTTCTTGCAACAAATTCTCCGCTTTCATTTTCTAACTTTCCCTCTAACACTGCAACAGTTTGACCTGTACAATTTTCAACAATTGAGAACATCTGTTTCAGCTTTGACACGGTAAATGAAGGAGTTAACGTCGAGCTGAAACAAAACAGGTTTTTGCAATGAGTACACTATTAAGCTCCACCAATTTATCAATGTTAATATCATGATTTCAGTGTTATTTGGGCATAAAACAATAATTTTCCTCTTTCAAGAATGAATAAAACTTTTCAAATAATTATGATTTGAAATTTTGTTACACTCAAATAACGGGACATTTCCTACTTCTATTTTGGGACAATCTCACAAATCGGCTACTGAGAAGAACACAATAAAATGTTTTGGGAAGATAAAAGAACACTATGCTTTATATCTATTCTGGGAATAAAATGAATGAATATGAAAGCATAAAATAATTGCATAAAAATATTAAAATATCTCACCGCATTCTTTTCCATTCCTTATTTCTAGCGAATACAACTCCTTGATTCATCTCTCTACCGTTCATTGTCACCAACACACTCTATAAAAAAAAACAAAGAGATACAAAATTCCGCTTTTCTTATAAATATCAGTAGTTTTATGTCTCAATATCGTACATTTCATATTTTAAAAATCAAATCCAGCAACTTCATTGAATACAAAAACCTAGAGTCCAGAGTCTCTCCAATAATGACTCAATGGTAATCTGAATCTAAAGACAAATATGGATCAAAACATATTTTATAGTCTTTTGAAAAGCTACTGAATTTGTGGTTAATAATATCACCAGAATTAATTATTTCAATGTTTCAAAGTGTGGCTCAAAACATCTTCAAATCTTCAATTAAGTCTTGCTGGCTTTTCGAGAGTTTAGACATTTAGTTTAAATCAGGGATGTGCACAAGGGCTTTTATACACAAGGGCCATATATAAATAACTGAATGAAACCGCGGGCAGCACCTTTACTTAACATAGGCTTTCTAGCAGTTGCGCACACACAAAATTCTGGTTATAGATCTTGTGACATGCGTTCTTCAGTTTGCACGAGCTCGGATATAGGCATTGCAACTTAAATGAATTCGAATTACTCGCACATACTCGATTAAATTTAAAATCCATGTCACGGGCCGCACACCATTCAAAAGTGGTGCTTCTCCGCAGGCCGCACAAGTTTTTCTTGCGGGCCAAAATTTGGCCCGCGGGCCACATGTTGTACACCCCTGGTTTAAATGATTCGAGTCATTAAGATTCCCATAAACCAGGGTTTTCAAACTAGGGTCTGTGGACCCCCTGTTCAAAATTTAATGATTATTTCAATTAAAAAAAAATTGCATATTTTTGGTTAAGCTTTGCGGACGAATATCCATTGCTGTCAGAAAAGTCAATTAAAATCCTTTTGCAACAACCTACATTCGTGAGTCAGCATTTTCACTCCTATATATGACGACAAAAATACAGGTCGAGACTTGCCTCCTGGTCTATAGGTTCGCTTGTCACAAATTGCTCCGAGAATCGAAAAACTGTGCGGTGAAAGGCAAACTAATTCATCACATTAATGTCGTATCGGCAAATGCAATAAAGGCAGAAAATGTAACTTCGAATGCAATAATGTGAATAATCGTTAGAATATTGGCAGCAATGAACAGTTAGTTGCTCAATGTCCCCATCATGCATGGCTTTGATGGTGGAGTAGATAAGAGTCTTAACACACGTAGGAAAATGTGCTGCTGCAGTTAAGTAGTTCTTACCATTCTATCAGGAAAATTCTGGAATTCTTTTGTGTATATCTGTCGTATAATTTCAAGATCATGTATCGTGATTAAAGGTGTAACACCGGCATATTCCCTGAAATATAGACATGACTTATCGAAAAATTGTCAATACGTGCATATTATCGAGCATCCCTATCCAGCTAACTAAAAGATATTTAATGATTATCAATTTTGATAAAAAAAAAACAGGCTGAAATTACCAATCTTTTGATACCAATATTTTTTCGAAGGGTATGACACATAAAACACAAATTAGTGCAGTTTCCTGAGGCAGAATTTGAAGATGATAAGTTCTATTAGTTTGAATAATGAAGAGAATTGAGTCAAAGGATGGCGTGTGTGGATTGTGATAACTCACAAGAGCTGTTGGTCAAACATCTTTCAGTACATTTTTTAAAGGTTTATTTTTAAAGTTCACTTACAACCCCCAATCTTTATGAAAAGAAAAATCAGAGAATTGTCAATATTAATTATCAACTCTCCTTACTCACCCATATATCAGTCCATATTTCTTTTTTTGTTTTAAATTTCTATTAAACATTCCCTGAAAACATAATAAAAAAATTAAAAATTTAAAAAGAAAGTCATACGGTCAATATCAAATCAACAATCAATTAAAAAATATTTTGTTTCAACAAGATTTTAATTTGAGTAAATCTTGAAATGCATCAACCAACAGTAGGAATATAATAATTAAACATATAAGATCTTGAAACTGTAAGTCGCTCAGCAATTTCTTATTTCTAACTTAAGTGTATTGCTTTGCAAATCTTCATCCTATGTGCATGACCAATCATATTCAACATTTTAAATAGAAAATATGCTTGATCAAAACCAAGTAGTTCTGACCCACCCTGTCAACCAAGTGACAAACATTCAACATTTATTACTTACTTTTGAAAAGACACTTGCCAAATTTCCAATATTCAGTATACTAGGTTTGTCATGGGGTATATTGAGGTTTGCGAGAAACTGCCATTTTCTATGTATGTAGTATCTGAAAATAAGCAAGAAATTCCATTGAACAAGTGATGAAAAACAAAAATTAAATATTCGAAATTGATTGAAAAAGGCAAATTTAGATATTGTTACTAATTGTAATATTTAACTTTGACATCAAACAACAAATTGAAGAGAATTGAACAATCAAACGATTTTTTTTTCATACAAAAAAAATTTAAAATTTTTTGCCTCAAACTCAATTTTCGACACCAGTAAAAGGAACTGAAAACTGGAGAAAATTGATCTCTTGGATAAAATATATAAAATAGACCACAATCACCTGATAAGAGCCAGTATTGCAGCAACAAGTCCCAAAGATTCAAAAGATATCACTGACCACAACCAAGACATTGTATTTGCCTAATCCAATCAATTTTCATATATCTGTATAGAAAATTATAAGATTTGAGTAATAGCTTATAGTCTACTCTTCAGTATTTTTTGAAATACTACGAAGATTATTCCACTGTTTTACAAAATAAACTTCAACCAATTCTATGTGAGTAATATAAAACTCATAAATCAATTTTAACAAAATGAAATATATGGGTTATTTATAAAAAAAAAATTGAGTTTTGATTGAATACTGCAGTTGCAACTGCATCTCTCCTACCTGCACCACTGTTATTTCAGTATTTGGGTTGTATACAGCTTCGTAAGTTGCACCATGCAAAGATATACGATACCATCAAGCATTCATATACCTACATTAGGCTTGGGCCCCTAGGCCATTTGTGTTATTGCAATATATCGAAGTATTGCAGTATTGAGAATTTCTGCAATTGTTTACGTCATGCCATGACAGAGGATTGCGTCAATGGTAGCATTCCGTTCCAGCCAAATATTATACCTTGCTGTACACAATAAAAATATAATGGCATTTTGTTCCATATTGGATAAATGTGAGTAACATTGATCATTTAAGTCCATTAAGATGCAAGTTTTATAATTTTTTTTCATCACACAGTTATTTATTTTGATAAAACTGAAAAAACATAATCAAATACATTTTGTGTAAAAACACAGTTCCTTATCTTATCCCAACTGTCTTATCCTAAAACACTTTCGGTTCGGTGCTCACAATACCGGATGAAAATCTGTAATATCTTTAACCCGTGGTTGTCAAACCCAATCGTGACCCGGCGATAATACTCAAAAAAGTTCTATAAACCCAACATTACATATAAACTTTTGAACCCACTCCTCGACTCGTGTATTTTTTTTAATGCCGTTATGCACTTTTGCCACTTTTTCCAATATTCGAAATTGTGAGTGTTTTCGAAATAATTTTTCATGTTATGTCCAAATTTTGGTCACGTATCAACCTTGATCGAGCAGCCGTATTGTGTTGGCTGTGGGGTATTCCCCTATGAATTTTATAAAACAAGGGCTGAAATTATGTTGGTTTTCAAATGTTTACTTAGGTAGTTTGCGACTTGGTATATGTGCTACAGCTAGATTGTATTATGGGAATATACTCAGTGCAGAATACGTCATTAATGACGTAAGCTTTAAACGATGGCGCAATCGCCAGCGCTCTATTTTCGGCTGATAAATGATGGCGCAATCGTCCGGTCCTGACATGACGTAAACAATTGGGGAAATTCCCAATACTTTATATCGCAATAACACGAATGACGTAGCGGCCTAGTGTAGGTATATAAATACCGGTACTTGGTAATGTATATCATATACCGGTATCTTTGCATGGTGCATCTTATTGAGCTGTGTAGGTATTGAGGTAGTGTATCCGGCGCAGATACTGAGATAGGATGTTTGAAACTTGCGGTTCTCAATCAAACTCAATTTTTTATGAATATATATTCCATTTTGTCGAAATTGATTTATGACTTTTATATTACTCACATAGAATTGGTTGAAGTTTATTTAGTAAAACAGTAGAATAATTTTCGTAGTATTTCAAAAAATACTGGAGAGAATAAACTACTACTTAAATCTTAAAATTTTCTATACAGATACATGAAAATTAATTTGATTAAGCAAATACAATGTCTTGGTTGTCGTCAGTGATATCTTTTGAATCTTTGGGACTTGTTGTTGCAATACTGGCTCTTATCAGGTGATTGTTGTTCTGTTTTAGACTATATACTCATCTAAGAGATTAATTTTCTCTGGTTTTCAGCCCATTTACAGGTGTAGGAAATTGAGAATGCCATGTCGAATTAGAAGTATTTAAGACATGCCAAACCCAGTAACTCTCCATGTTCTTGTACGTCCTTGTTTCTGGTGGTGCACTTTCTGACTTTATAGAAAAGCTATTTCTGTATTTCAGATTGCTATCTTTTCAGAATATATTTTTAATATCAAACTATAGTGCTGAATATTTGTGAAATATTTATAAAATGAATTTGCAATGAACTATGAATCTGGTTCACACCAAGTCTGCTTCTGCTAATAGTATCTCTTTATGTATAGCTGCTTATAGCCTTGTTTGAGGCAAAAAATGTTGAATTTTCTTTGTAAAAAAAATATTTAGTGACACATTGTTCAATGCTCTAATTTTTGGTTGGATGTCAAAATCAATTAGTAACAATATCTAAGTTCACATTTTTTGATCAATTTCAAATTACTATTTTTTGCTTTTTATCATTTGTTTAATGGAATTTCTTTCTTATATTAAGATACTACATACATAGAAAATGGCAGTTTCTCGCAAACCTCAATATACCTCATGACAAACCTACTATACTGAATATTGGAAATATGGCAGGTGCATTTTCAAAAGTAAGTAATAAAGGTTGAATATTTGTAGATTAGTTGACAAGGTTGGCTAGAACTAGTTTCCTCTGATGAAGTATTTTTTCTATTTAAAATGTCAAATAAGCTTGGTCATGCCCATAGGATGAATTTTGCAAAGCAATACACTTAAGTTAGAAATAAGAAATTGCTGAGCAACTTACAGTTTCGCGATCTTATATGTTTAATTATAATATTCCTACTGTTGGTTGATGCATTTCAAGATTTACTTAAGTTTTCAATACGTGTGGGGGTACAAATGCATAAAATTGGCGTAGCAAATACGATTATTTAATAAAAAATAAAAATCGCATGGAAAGGGTTAATAATCTACACTTTCTTTCTAAATTTTCACTTTTTTCATTATTACGTTTTCAGGAAATGTTTACTAGAAATTTAGAACAGAAAAAGAAATATGGACTGATCTATGGGTGAGTAAAAATAGTTGATAATTCTCATAGACAATTCTTGTTTTTTTATTTTTTAAAGTCATTATAATGATTAGGAGTTGTAACTTGTAAGTGAGCTTTAAAAATTAAGAATAATCCTTAGTTAGGAGAATGAACTGAAATATGTTTGACAGCTCCACCATCCTTTGACTCAATTATTTAAACTCATGGAACATTCTCTTCAAATTCCATCTCAGAAACAGCACTGATTCGTGTTATATGTTTCATACCCTTCGAAAATATTGGTATCAAAAGATTGGTGATTTAATCCTGTTTTCTATCAACATTGATAATTATCAAATATCTTCAAGTTAGCTGGTTAATGGTTATTCACATTGACAATTGTTTTCATAAATTATTTCTATATTTTAGGGGATATGCTGGTCTTACACCTGCAATCACGATACATGATCTTGAAATTATGCGACTAATTTACACAAAAGAATTCCAGAATTTTCCTGATAGAATGGTAAGAACTACTTAACTGCAGCACATTCAGCTATGAATAGTGGGAATTTTTGTAATATGTTCTCCTTGAAGATTTTTAGGATAGATGCATTTCACATGTAGATATTCACATGTATTGGGACTGGTGGGCTTTTCGCATCCGTAGTGTTGCATTTGAAATGGTAAAACTGTCAAACCACTTCATACATTTTTCAGACTAGTAACAGAGGAAGCATCTTTCAAGCTGAAATTTTGTTTGTTTTTAGAGAGTGTTGACGACAATGAATGGCAAAGACATGAATCATGGAGTTTTAGTTGCTAGAAATAAGAAATGGAAAAGAACCCGGTACAATATATTTTGATATTTTTAAATAAGGGTTTATGTGTTGCTTAAGTATTCGTGCAATGTCGCTCGCGGGCCAAAATTAAGGTTGCAAGTCATTGGCGGGCCGCACATATTTTTAGAAAGTTGAAAAACCGAATGGATGGTACTTTTTATAATAAAAATCAAGCAGGGATACATCTCTCGAATAGAATATAGATTTATTTCCTCATTGCATCTCATAAAATTTCATTTGAATATTTCCAGCGCCATTGAACCCTTTGCACTTAGCATCAACTTTTCTGCGATTTGTTGCCATTGGCTTAATTATAATTAAATTATATGCTCATTAAACGAGTAATTGTGAATTATATAATTGTTAGGTCATAATATATTTTTGTCTAAAGAATATATTCATGGAAACGAATGTTTTGTTACTATAATTTAGTGAAGCGTCGCGGGCCGGATTATAGTGCGATCTTAGGTTGCCAACCCCTGATGTAGGGTATTGAATTACCTAACCAGTTATTCGCTTCAGATGCGTAGTGAGTGGAGGTATTCATAACCTTATGATGGTGAGGACTGAGGAGTCTAAATGAAAAGACAGCGTAACCATAACTATAATCGACTATGATGGTTACTCATTGCAAAAACTTGTCTTATTTCAGCTCGACGTTAAGTCCTACATTTTCCATATCAAAGCTGAAACAGATGTTCTCAATTGTTGAAAATTGTACAGGTCAAACTGTTGCAGTGTTAGAGGGAAAGTTAGAAAATGAAAGCGGAGAATTTGTTGCAAGAAAGTAAGTGCATACTACATACACTACCTTGAAATTTGAATATATAAAAGTCTTGCCTTGTAATTGTTGCTTCTATGTTGCTTAATATAGCCAAAGTCGCCTTCTTGATTTTCTGAGACATGCAATTTTAAAAAATGATCATAAAAGGTTATACATAATTATCAAAATCTATTTTGGAACAAATATACTGGTAGTCTAATATACATTATTACATCCAGATTATTTTCAAATTTATCGCTGGATATGATAGTTTCTGCTGCATTGGGAACCAGAGCACATATTCAATCTGTTGATGGGAAAGATTCCCAACTGGTATTGGAAGTTCGAAAACTGTTCGCTACTGGATTCGCTGGTCCTACTGCATTCATGTGTTGTAAGTTCTTGAAATTTTTATGATTATTGGACTATTCGGACACAAAGTCATTTCTCCTCATTAATGGATCAAAAATGCACATTTTACAAGTTTACATTATTTTTTTAGTCATCTGTCCACCATTTGAATGGATTTGCAATAAATTAGACATCAGTATATTTGATTACAAAGCGTTACAATATCTCAGTAATTTTACCAATGCCGTCATTGAAAAAAGAAAAAAGGGACAGGTAAGTTTTCGGAAGTTTATCGTATGCTTTTAAACAAAGATGGCGATAGATAAATCTTTTTCATTATTTAATAAATTAAATCAAATAAATTAAAATTTGTATGTATTTATAATTTATACAAAACTTTTAATTTTTCTTTAATTTGTGTCCTATTGGAAATTCCCTTATATCAGTATATCCTGGCAATCAGGACTTCAGGTATTGAAAAGAATTAAGTGTTTTATAATCAACAATGCTTCCTAAACTCCAGATATGTGTTATGCCAGTTATGGAGTTGTAGCTTGATTTGCTAGGACTGACCCTGTTCTCACTCTTAAGTGGCAATCATCTACAATCTTCATCATTAATAATATTTTTTCACATCAGGAAGAAGTTGCCAAAGATTTACTTCAACTTATGTTGGATGCTGAAGTCGCGGATGATAAAATAAATGAAGATTCAGAAAGAGGTAAAGATAAAGTTTTATTTAAAGTGTTGTATTTGTGGTTTTGTCTTACCTGAAACAGGATTTGGACACAGTAAGTCACAAGTTTTGAATCTTGATATTTTTTTGCTTAAGACTTACTCAAGTTTGAAGTTTCATGTAGACCTGATTTGAGTTAATATCGGGAAATATTTTAAATTTTGGGAAATTTCAAAATGACTAGTAACAGTATCAGTTTAGTGAAATAAATCAAATTGGATTGAAAAAATTAACAATTGAGTCATAAGTAGGAACATTTAAATGAAATAAATGTAGAGCACAAATTGATCTGATTTATTCTGACTAATGTGGTTTGGTGATTCAACTTTTGTGCAATATTTTGTTTGACTCATTTCTCGGTGTCTTGCATGCTGGTCAGTCAAGTTGGAGTTTGGACTTTGTGGAGTTTTTACTGGTCATGAGAACTAGAGTCACCTTTTGCCCATTTCAGTCACTTTTCGAGATTAAAAGGATATCAACATAAACAAAACTGAATGCAATTACAACAAACCTGATCTAAAATTTGGGACCTCCTGAAGTATGCTCACCAAGATGGCGCATAACCTGAACTCAGGTTGTGTACCAGGTTAGGGTTCAGGTTGTGCGACATCTTGGTGCGCGTATTTCAGGAGTACCAAAATTTGGTTATACTAGAAAACAGCAGACTGTCAACTTTTTTGGAACTTATAATGACTTTAGCCTTCTTGTGACAGGTTTGAACCGGCAGGAATTGATTGGGAATGCAATGCTCATGATTGGAGCTGGGTTCGAGAATACAGCAAATACAATGACTTTTCTTGCTTATAATCTTGCACTTCATCAAGATATCCAAGATAAACTTAGAAAAGAAATGGATGAAGCTTTTCAAGCAAAGGTATGTTGAAACTATGTGCTCACCAGGAGTGTGGGAGAGAAGTGAATTTTATCTGTTATTATTTTGCTAGCGAGCTACGTCCCGACTATGGTGATTTTAACTACCTTAAATTGTTAATCTCTATCTGGTACCTGCATTAATAATTGCCTGTTTTTTTTGTTAGCAGGTGATTGGTTTTCTAACTTTCATGTGTTTTTCTCATTTTTAACAATTTTCTTGTAAAATATATCGGTAAGGGTTCCAGGATAGTAAATTCGAAATTCTTTTTATCAACTCGCTTTTATAAATCAGATGTTTTTTTGTGAAATTTTTTTCAACTTTAAACTTCAATGTTATATTGTATTTTAGGGAAGATTCGACTATGAAAGTGTCAATAATATGAAATATCTCAGCATGTGTTTGAATGAATCATTGAGACTATATATGCCAATTATAGTGTGAGTATTTTGTATATATTGATTGACAATCTTCCATCTTGTCCATTAGTAAGTAGTAGAAGTATTCTTGTGTCCATCAAACAAGTTTTGACTTTACTTTTTTCTCATCTGTTTTTTCATCCGCTGTTTTTATCATCTTCATGCCTTAAATATAATGAAAAACAGTACTGAATTGGATTTGAATATTTTTGAACTACCGTATGTCGTAAATTGACAGTTTGCTCAAACAAAAGTATATGAGCTAGTTATTTAAGATTGATTTATTATTTTATCTTGTTATTTATCTCAATTTTTGTTCTGTGTTTGTAGAAATTCCAGAGTCTGCAGAAAGGAAACCACAGTGAATGGTTTTACAATTCCTAAAGGTGTAACAGTGCAATTTCCTACATTCGGCCTTGCTCATGATCCAGAGTTTTGGGACAAACCATGGGAGTTTATACCTGACAGGTAAACAATAAATCTTGCGACATATCATGTGTTATGTGTGCAGCAAGGTGGCTCAATTGTTGATACATTTTTTGACATCTCTCTAACTATATATCCCGGGTTGGCAGGTTTGTATCATTTGTTATTTATGTGCCGCAAGGGTATGTTGAACTCCTTGCTGCCGTAGGACATAACCATTATTTTGTCATAGCTTGCTACACCATCAAGGTAATGCATATGAAACAAGTTTTTAGTTGACTATTTCCATACATGGACTGGTAATCGAATGAGGCTGTGGTTGTCTTATTGACCGTAGAAATCTCCTTCCCTCACTCTGAAGTCAATATGAACATCCAATAAATGGTTGAGGAACAAAATAATTTTATTTTTCTTGAAAAATGGCTACTCTGTAAAAACATGGTGTGTATTATTGCAATAAATAAATCAAAACAGTCTTACACTTTAGGACATTATATCACAACAGTCACTCAATTAAAACTCGGAATATGTTTTTTAGAATGGAAGACATGTCACAAATTGATCCGATGGTGTTTCAACCATTTGGTGCGGGACCTCGTAACTGCATTGGATTGAGATTTGCTGAAATGGAAATCAAAATGGCTTTTTGTCAAATTTTACATAAATTCAAGATTATGCCCTCTGAGGACACACCTGTAAGTATAAACTTTTGTTTTTATCATCTGGATGAATTTGTCCTGTAACATCAGTATGGTGAGGCTTGAACTTGAAAAATGAAAATGACTTCGTTTTTCATGAGTGCTGTCTCGTCTTTCAGAAAGAAATTTGCTCATTTAGATTAGTTTTTCAGTTCAAAAATCATTTCACTTGACTTGTGTCTCATCATGCTCTGTGCATCAGCAATTTAATGACGAGTATGTTTTTCACATTGCGACAAACAATGAACAGAAAAAAATAAATAAAATGAGAAAATATTGGCATGGCATGAGAATGACTCTTGCTTTTTATTTCGATCCCATGTAAAATTGATATTCTGAATTATCTGGTCAGTGTGATGAATTACCGGTATGTAAAATTCTAAATTTAATGGTACCCACTGCAACCTCTGCAAGTGTAAAATCCTCTTTTGTAGTAAGTAACTACAATACAAATATATCAGATTCTGATAGTTATTTTGTAGTAACAGTGTTGGGACAGGTCAAGTCATCGATCACCATTTATCAAATACTAAGGTCAACTAAATGAAAATGACTTGGACCCAGACTCATCTAATCTGAGTCTCACAAGACTAGGTTTAGGAGCCTGAACCACTGACTAGTAACATGCTAATATAGGCAATGATGTCACTAATCTTCGTTAAATTTAGAAACCACCGCTGGAACTGTCGTTTGCTTTGGGTATTCGTCCTATCAAAGAATTCAAATTGAAAGTTGTTGCTAGAGATTAAAAGTCAGCAAGTAATGGTTAACTTGCGATGATACTTTTGCTATCATTCTGAAGATAATAATGAAATACCCAGGGAACAGTTTGAAATTTTTTTCTATGTGTGTTTATAGATAGTGCTTACTATTATTTTGTTTCTGAGTATTTTTTTCTCTTTTTTATTTTTCTATGTGTATCTCACAATACAACTAAGAGTAAATACGGTGTATTTTATAATTCATCAAAAAATTTACATTTTTTAAAATAAGTAAGTTGATAATAATAGAATCAGTTATGTAAAGTATAGACAATACATATAAATCAGTATCCCATTTCTCTGTATTTTCTGCCGTTTTCCATGTATCAAATACTGTATTAGTATTCAAAAGAGTTATTTGTTTTTATCAGTTTTAAACGATCATATATTGTCTATTAAATTGAAATTATCATGTCATCTATCTGTACATTTTATCCTTTATATTTCTAATTTTTTTTCAAACTACAATAAATTAACAACACCTCCTTATGTGGGGTCAAAAACATTATGATTTGGTCGACCTTTTTGTATTTTACCTTGTATTATACATTTAAGCATATTGCTCACTGGATGTAAACAATTTATGCACTTCATTTGTAAATGTACCAGATCCTCAAGTATTTTTATTGTTTGGTCCTGTTTTTTTTCTGTTAACTTTTCTCCTTAGGACATTGCGCATTGGTCATTTTCAAAATTTTATTATTCGACAACCATTAGGCCCTAAAACTGTCATCATCAGTAAAACAAACCTATTTTAATGTGAGACGCTCCTTTCGCTCCAAACAAGACCAGGTACAGGCAGTCACTGTCATCTAAGAGAAGTTCTCCATGGACTCGCTTTGCTGTTAAGACTCATCCAAGCTATATACGTACGCAATGTTGTTTCTCACTTCGCTTATTTAATATTCCCATGCAGTTCGTTGTAACAAAACAGGAACGTGTTCACAAGTAACAAGTGACTTACTGAATCCCACTGATTGAAATTGTGTTGACGATTTCATAAACGTTTTACAGGGCTTAGCATACATACTAACCTGCTACAAAACTCCCCAAATGAGCCCCTTAATCCAACCATATATAGGTTATTAAATTCATTGTTGTTTAAGACTGTGGCCTGGAGGCACATAAAAGTAAATTTTCAAAAATATAAAACTGGCTCATTTTTCTTTGGTAGATCTGACTTAACCATTGAGTGTTTAAGAATGGAGGAAAAGGATAGGATTTACATATTTATCCTGTGGGAGAGGAAAGTCGATAAGACGGTTTAACATGGCCTCTCGTTCGGTTACCAGTCTGTCGGGTGCATTTCAGTTATTTGTTTTCGTAAGCATGGACTTGATGGTGGAGGAAGCTGTAACCGACCGGTGTTCATGTGAACCACCCTACAGCGACGAGGAGTCCAGCATTCCTCATAACTATCCCACAATTTCGAACTAGCACAAATGTATTATACTACCTGATCCACCAGTGCAAAAGCATAGATGAAGGATAGGTCGTTAGCCCCACGTAACCAATATTTCAATATATTTCGCAGAAAATGTTGTGCTATTCTTATATCTCACTTTCATACTGTCTACTTCAAGCATCTTTGCGGCAACGGACACTTATAATAGGAAGTGAGAAACGCATTTGGTGGCCAGTGAACAGTAAAATTGTTTAAATGAAATAGGACTATTCAATTCACTCGTTAGACGACCACATCAATGCAATCAACCTCAAGTCTAATTTTTTGCCTAGATCTTGCTTGAAAACCTAAATAACATTGCAACCTCTGAGATCTCAACAAGTGTTGAAGTAAGGTGTCTAGTGAATTTTGTATTCAGATTTAATCAAAAGATGTCCCACAAAAAATTTAAACAGAAATGAAATTGTAGCTATACGATTACCTAAAACAGTTTGGTCATCTTGCTAAGAGGTAGGAATTCATTTTCCATAACACTGCTGTTTGCTCAACAGTCCATACGACTTTGAGGTTCAAATTCAGAGGAAACATCCATCTATTCTTCGCCATCATCTTCATAATAATCCTCATCTTCTTCTGTGTGATCCATGAGGAAAGGATATATGTGATGAGAGTCCTGTGATAACACGCATGAAACTTTACGGCCCCCAGATGACGCTACATACATACCACTCACTTTACTACCTAAATCTCGAATGTCGTTACTGAATTCAGATGCGTTACATTGAGGAAAATGTTGATCTACAAATGATCCTGTTTGAAATGGTAATGGGGATGGTCCAACACCAATTGTGTTTAATTTTACAATCATGTCTGACATTACAGTCTGTACGAGAAATGTTTTAGATCGTTTTTCAAGTAGCTTTTCACCAAGTATAAAAGTCATTGTGTTTTCATCATACCAGTCAAAATCGAATATTTCAAGGATTTGTTCTGTCGTTTCTGTGTTTTCAACATTCGGCAGAGATTCAAATTTATTGAAGTGAATCTTCATTGCTCTCATAGAGTTCAAATCAACTTGTTTTGAACCAAGGAAAAATAAATCTGCTTTTTCAAATGAGTGTTTATTTGAAATCAATAAATATATTCCATGTCCTTCAGGGTTTTCATCGACTCCCATAGTAATACCAGCATTTGTACTCTCCTTGATCCAAAGTTGTACTTTTGGTCTGAAATTGCCAACAGTTTTATCAAGTTGGATTTTATGCGAGACATTGCAGTTTATGGACTCTCCAGATAAACTTACAAGATTTAACAACTGATTTGTCATTCGATTAAAAATTTGTCTCAATGATGACTCTGGCTGAGGATGGATTATCAACTTACTGTTTGATAATATACTACTGCTTGCAACAAAATTGGTCCATTCATTTTGAGTAGTCTTTGCTAGTTGAGTTAGCGGCTCATCTTTTAGATACTGATACACTTTCTCCAGATGAAATTGTTTTCCTTTTTTCAAATCTGTCTGTCTCCTCGATACTAGATGTTCGTAAATGAAATCAGCTACCAGTGCAACATCATTTCCAGACGATTGGCCCACATCGTCGACTGGCTCGGCCTGCATTTTCAACATTGAGCAATACAGCCAACGGAAAAAAGCTTTGAAGTTTTTTAGACTTGTGTCAATGACTTGGAGCATTTCAGAAACTTTAAGCATTAATGAACCAGTTGTGGATAATAAATGTTCAACTTCAGAAATCTCAAATGGAAGAACATTTTTGTTATCAACAGCCATTCCTCTAAGCTCAGTTAAATGATAGTAAAGTGACATCAAACCAGTTTGAAAATTAACTATCAATTGCTGCTGGATGCTTGTATAAGATGATTCAATAAGAATGCCCAACTTTTTAATATCCTTTTTAGTAAAATGTCTTGTCAATATATTTTTCAAAGAATCCGTTGGTTTTCCCCAAATTAAAAGCTGGAGAAAGTCATCACCAATATTTTCAGATGAGCTACTTTTTACCAAATAACTTGTTAACTGTGAATCAACTTCCTGGGTTACAGTGTCACATTTTTCGCTGATACTTTCAAAAATAATATTCAAATATTGGTCGAGTGTTAATACCTTATATGCTTTATGTGCTGCAGCATAATAAAGTTCAATATTTTCGGTCAAAACCTTAAGATTATAAATTGTTGCCCATGTTTCTGTAGAATGTGAGATATGTTTTGAGTATACAACTGTGAGACTGTCTATATTGGGAGATATTTGCACCCCGAGAATGCAATGTGGATGTGATGATTGATCATGGCATGTAACTCGAGCTATCGGGAATATTCCATTGACCAAAATAGTCACATTACAATTGGAGTCGCATGATAGTAAAACATAGAAATTTTCATCATTAACAGCATACATCAAATTCCCAGTCTTTTCTTCATTCTCAATATGCAATTCTGGTACTTTGGGAAGATATTCTTCACTATTTAGGCCCCTATTTTTATGTGAAATGTCTTTTAATTGAGGAAAATTCATATCAAACCATTTTATAAGTTCTGTTTTTGGAGATGAAAATTTCCAAAGTATTTCTGCTTTTTCCATGTAAATAAACTTTATATTATCCTTGGTGCAATCATAGGCAACAGAAATGACTTTGCCATCTGGTCTCCATGATAAAGAAAGAATGTTTGTACCGCTCTCAGGAACAGGTAATATCCAAATTCTTTCTTTTGAAACTAAGCGATACAATAGTAGTTCCCCTGTAGCTGTGGCCACTGCGAATAAATCCAGCTTCGGTGACCATGATAACAGTTTAACTTTCGACTTCACATGCTTTTCACCCAGTGGCATGAATGCATTGCCAACCTTCATAATTAGTATTACCTACTGACCTTAGGTAGGATCTTAGTAATCTGAATCAATTGCATTACAATGTTTTTTGGCATACCCCATATTATAGTATTACGATAAGATTCCGATCCTAGAGGACATTTCAAAAAAATGGGGGTCCAACCCCCAAAACATGGATGGAACAAATTTCTGAATTTTGTTGGTATTTGGTAATCAGATGTTGGTAAAATTATATTCTCAAAACTGAACTGACTAAAAGAGGAATTACAAACAAATTACCGTACTGGAGGCGGGAAATGGGTTTCCACAATCTGACAAAGGTAGGGATTGTGCGAAGACAGAAATAGTGAATGAAATAGGGAACTGGGGAATGAAATGTGTTATGTCTTGGAAATTCACACAAAAAATTTTGTTTGTTTAGGTATTATATTAAAATTAATTCGAATACATTTTGTTATAAATTAGGATTCTTGCATATTATTTAATTTCAAGATCCTTTATATAGACTAGATACTGTTGGATTGAATGCAATTATTCTTTTGTTATCAATAGTGAAATATAAAATTGGGACTTTGTGGAGGGTCTGGTATAGTTTAGTACCACATCATCCACATGCCCACTAGAAGTATATGTGGTACTAAACTATACCAGACCCTAACTTTGCACAGGTAACCTTAATGCAGTAATGTTTCTGAACTACTAAGTCTGTTAGTGGAAACCACCATTTTAGATAAATTTGTGTTTCTAAGGCTCGGCGGCGCATCGCCCTAAGCTAGTGTTGCCATACCGTCCAGAAATTGTGGACTTGTCCGGAATTTTGAGTTAAATTTTGCGTCCCGGAAGAATTTAAAAATGCTCAAATGTCCGAAATTTTACTGCATCTGCAATCGTACTGTGCACACTGCTATTACAGAACATTGTTATTTCGTACCGTCAAACCGTGCGCATATTTTTTACTACGAGGTCATGAAAATAGTCATGCACTGTCCGGGATTTTGCTTTTTTTTTTTTTTTTTTTTTAAATGGATCCACAATTTGGATTATTCAATATGTAAATAATAAATAAATGCAATATAAATAAAGATATATTGTGTACCGTAAGTGAACAAACATATATACCAGTAATATCAAGATAATTCCATCAGATATAATATTCCATATGATCCAGGGAGTTCCAATAATTCATTTGTTGATTTCGTAATACAAATTACATAGTTTATTTTTAATTATTTAGCATGAAAAAACATAATTTTATAATTATTCACAAGTTATTACAAATCATGGCAAGTTCTTTTATATAACAAAATTCCTTTCTCACTTTTTCTATATTTCTTCTCATTAGAAGTGAGTTCCTAATTTTCATAATAACATTATTTATGCTTATGATTTTGCTTTTTCAAATATGGCGACTAAGCGTTCGAGCCGCTGAATACCCTGCGTGTGTTCGCAGGTTCGAATCGCGCGGGGGGGGGGGGGGGGTAATCATGTGCGCGAGGATTGCTGGACTCCTCGTCGCCGTCGAGTGGTTCACGTGAACGCTGGTTGGTTACGGCTTCCACCACTAACTAATCCCATACCTCATTTGTTCCCAAACTTTTTTCGCGACCTTAATTTTTATAAAATCAGAGCCTACATCGCAACTGAAAAATAATTAGTACGGCCTTTACGCGTGATCAATGTTTCCCCGGCCTTTGAACTCCGGAAACTTCTCCCTATAAACTTAAAGCCTATTATCAATATAACATTTCTCATGTTTATTGTACATATTAATAAGAACATTGCATTTTACACAGACATATTTCAGATAATTTTTTCTCAAATTTTAATGTCAGAATGTATAGCTTTTCGGCTTTATCCTAGGCCAGGCAAAAATGTCTGTAAGCTCCCGCGCAGCATAATCAAAGGGTATATGGCACACGTAGGCTTAGCCTAGAGCCCTAGACTATATCCAACGCTTGACACGATGCAGCAAGCCACGTTTTCTTTTAGGCAGGAATTCGTTTCATTATCTTTACCTTAAAAGTTCCCGTACTTGACCAAATTCGTCGTCATGCTCATATTGTTACAGTTAGGTTGTTTTACTGTGTTTGTAACATCAGACAGGGGTCACCAAACTTTTTTGACCGCGGGCCAGGTATGACTCAAACCGTAAATATGCTCAAACGGTGTTGAAACGGGCCGGACAAATATTTTTGTCAATGCAATACAATAAATTCCCAAAAGTTGGGAAATCCATTCAATTTATTCAACAATATAAATTCTACATTTCTGAAGTCTTGTATATTAAATTCTATATTGCAGAATATAGATCAAGAACATCATAGCAAAAGAAATGTAAAATATACAAGATTTCTAGACAACTATCCTGAGGTTAGCTGCAACGACTAACATACCGGTTAGCTGTTAGCAATACAATTGCTGTCATGAATATCCGCATGTAAGCAGTACAAAAGTTAACGTGACTTGTCTATTAGCGCAAAATGCACGTTCGACGTTCATTTTAGCACGAGAAACGTACACAGCAACAGTTTGATTGACTTGATTCATATTTAAATTTCGGAATAACGACCAAAAACTAACGAATAGCTTTCAAAATCGCAAAAACCAGGTTTTGTTTGAAACCACGACTGAAAATCTGTCAGAGTGACAGGAGTGTCCGAGTGGATGCCAACGAGTCTATTGTTACGTGACCTTTTGTATCTTGCTGATTGGCACAAAATGAACAAGGAAGTCGATGCTCGGTGAAACATCAAGGGTCTGTCGAGGGCCGTGAAGGGACATGGGCAGTGATGGGATTCAGTCGGTTAGCACAGGTTCTATAGAACCGTCTCACGGAATTTTATGAGATCAGCGAATCGGTTAACATTACTGGTTACTGTCAATGACTTTTTGTAACAGAAACGGCTGAAAAATATGGCTTTTGTGTTGGAACCGGCCGACAAAAAAATTGAATCCCACCACTGGACATGGGTCCTTACTTTTGCGGCAACGGACAACCCAAACGCAAGCTGCCGTGACAAGTTTCTGCAATCTACAGGTGGGCAAATAAAGTCAACAAGATTACAGCTAGATAGCGAGATCGATAAGTATTACAGTGTCCCTACTGAGCGAAGCTCCTTGCATACAATCGGACCCCATGCAATCAAATTTCGATTTTCGTTTCTTTGGACAGTCAATTTGGCCTCTAAAATTCCTCGTATTAATCGCCCAGTTGATGGCGTAAAAACACAGCAAACCTGTCAATACCACCCCACATATAGCGAATATGATGAAAGGAAGGTCAACCCATTACGTTGTATAGAATAGACAATGGTGACCTCAACTCAAAGAAAATGATCTATAAAAGTGTTTGCAGGCGTGTATTTAAAACAGCCGTGGTTACACATTAATGAACATCATTTGCAAGAAATCAAGTAGCAAATGTTTAAGCTACCAATTATGGCGATTGATTACCACTTGGGCCTGAAACCTACATTTAAATGGTTTGGCAAATGATGTAAATAAACGTCTTTTGAAGATTTCAAACATTTTTGTCATCATTTACACTCACTGAGGCTATACGTTTGTTTCATATTCAGATATATCCATAATAATATATCGCGAATGCCGCCGACCTTGTGGGCTTGTTTCGTCGACGTAGGCTTCTATCATCTCATTGGCATACTCGAGCCGTATAAAACCTGAGAGTTTGCCTAATCACGAGCGAACAAGGTTGCGTTTGACGATTAGAACGTGGGCAAAGCACGGTTAGATAAGGTAATGATGTAGTATAGGTAAGTTTAGGGGATAGGGCAGTGAGTCGAGACTAGGAAGGTTGGTGGAGAAAGGGCAGTGGTTCGGTGATAGGAAAGTTGTGTGAGTTAGGAAGGACAGTGAGTCAAGGTTAGGAGGGCAGCGGTGGAGGTTGGGAAGGTTGAGGGGGGTAGGGCCGCGGGTGGAGGATAGGTGGGTTGAGGGAGGCAGGGCAGCGGGTGAAGAATAGAAAGGCTGAGGGAGATAGGGCTTCAGATGGAGGGTAGAGAGAGTTCGGGCAGCGGGTGCAGGATGTAATTATCTGACCAATCCGGCTTTTTGCTGCTGCAATAAAGTTCGCTACTTGTCATCTGACTATTGGTCTCTCATATATTCTCATGCATTGCTTTGCAGCAAGCGGTAATTTCTGGGTGTTCTGCAGAACTGGCGAGCATATTTAATCAAGAAACTGTATGTTGCATACTTGCATTTCACCCATCTGCATCCAATCGACAATTTAAAAAAAAGTTTGATTATCACTCATTACATATGCAAAAGGTGAGACCGCTTGAAAGTGTTCAATACAATAAAACAAAAACAAATATTAATCAAAAATAGTCTAATAACTATGAACTTGGATACACATAATTGCTAAAGTGAAACATACATAACTGATGAAATGTGATCGTGTATATTCCAGCCTGTGGAAATACGACGATGAAAGAATTAAACAAGAAATGTAGTCGTAACCTAATAACTTTAAACTAAGTAAAAGTCAATCTATTCGTCGTTTATATTCTCCAGATTTTATATATCTTGAAAATGAATGAGTTCAGACAGACTCTTTACAACACTATGTTATACATGAATTATTTGCGGGTCTGTCAGACCAAACATCTCTAGACAAGTGGAAAGTCAAGTAAACACCATTATTACGTAAAAATACAAAATATATACTGCATAGGGAGTCCAATCATTTTACATAATAATTGTAAATTGCTGTGGCTAAAGGATTATCCGCGTCTTCATAATACTAGATTACAAATCTTCGTAAGCCGCTCTTCCCTTCTTATCTCTCTGAAAATTAATATGAGGCAATTTCAAACTATACACGTAATACCTAAATATTGATATACGCTGCAGATGTAACTATCTGGGTGCATCGACTATATCTACGCTTACCATACGTCCCGGTTTAGCCGGGACAGTCCCGGTTTTGATAAGCTGTCGCGGTATGTAGCGTGGCAGTCAAAAACATTTTTTTATATAATATTATCACAAAGTTATTTTCTTAACGGAAGCATCCAATTTATCTCTGATTCACTAGTTAACAGAGGGAGAGATAACTGCTGTTTTGTTGTGGTATAGGTATTATAATTATGTTAATTGCGATAATTTGACACACAATGTTAACTGACCTGTCAATAAATTATCAAAATGCCAAATGGACGCGTAGAAAGACGAATGGCAATAATGTTTTTTTCAAACTAAAAAATAAAACTGAAACGAGCCTTTACGAGACCGACATAGGATTTGCGGCCCATTTATCTTAAAACTGAATTCAACATCCTTCCGTGTCTCTCTTATGTCGGTTATTGAAATGTTCAAAAAATTGACTGCTTTTATAAATAATGTTTGGCGACTGCGCGTACAAATTAATTTATAGGTAATTTAATGCCCGGTATCTACTGCAAAGATATGATAGAAGTTACAGATATTACTTAGCTTTAGAATGGAGCCAAAGTTAGTCCGATCCGCACTGTCCCGGTTTTTTTCGTTCCAGATATATGGGTATGCCTAACTTTATCACAAAGATCATTAAGGTTCTCTCATATTGAACTGAGTTTATATCAGGGTAAATTTATCGCAGTTGATCATATGAGATTTTTACCTGTTTCTCTTCATCAAACTCCGATTTCACGTCGTAGGTGAATTCAGTTGTCTCGATAACGTTTTCAAGCACCTGTAAAATCAAGTTAATCAATTTGCAATTTGGCGACAAGGTCTACGAGTCTACAATATTCTCAAATTGTGAAACATTTCGAATTGTCAAAATCATATTTAAACAACTTACATTTTTCTCATCCACGAGTGACGGTTTTACTTTGCAATCAGATTCATCTCTAGATATAGGTTCATATCCGTCAGGACATGCACATTCAAATCCAATAGGCGTTGGGAGACACAGGTACTTGCATGGCGATCTTTCACAATGGTTCAAATCTAAATTAATTACTACTATTATAAATACGCTTGCCATACGCCCCCGTTTAGCCGAGACATATTTCTTTATTTGATATTAATACATCTTTTTAACAGAGGCAGTCGATTAACCACTGATTCGCACCTCGCTTTACCAGTTCCGATAGAGCGAGATAAATTGTTATATCATAGTTTTGATATGAAGTATGAACCGAAGTATACGTCAATTCAACACCCAACTGCACCGTCGTTGAATCATTAATATGTCGAAAGTTTTACAGCTAAAATTTACAGCTAATTTTGATGTCTATAATCTACCCAGAATGGTTTGAAAAATGTTAAATTGTCACTAAGCCTCGGAATCAAACCAACGTTGGCTTGCCAAATCTACACTGTCCTGGTTTTAGCTTCAGATATATATGGTATCGCCTAGTTATAAGGAAAATGATATTTTTATGCACAACGCAAAATATAAATACGATTATTAGTAATAAAGGAAGCTGGAGTGAGTAGAAAATAATTTCGGATTGGAATTTAAACAGTAAGATAAAAACCAAAAAGTCAGTCTGCAGAGTGAACTCCATAACCGGCGTATCGGGCTCTACCGCGACGCTCACTGATACATAACAACATTCGAATTTATACCTAAACACTGGAATATAAATGCAATAGATGAAATGAAAGTATCGTAGAGTAAGAAAATAAATAAACTTATTAGCGAGATACTTGTGGGGCATCTAAACTGTCTGTGGATTAGTATCAGGGAGATCACGTTTCGGATGCGAGTCTTGAAATATTGGCAAGATAATAATTAAATCATGTTCACTCCCGCTAAATATCATAAACATGACATTTTGACTTACAATTATGTTGCAACTCAGCGTCATACAACGCGATTCCAGTTGGCCTTGTTAAATCCATGAAATGCAAATGAACATCAACTCCTGTTTCTTTATCGACGCTCAAAATGCCTCGATTCCAATCTGTCCAATATACTGAGAAAAATAAAAATAAATTTACTGCAATAGAATAGTGCAAAGAGCATATATATATTCATTGAATAGTGTGAAGTTTTTTTTTTTCACAACATTTTAGTGACAGATTTTCCATTGTTCAGCACGAAATGCTATTTTGCGAAGTGCTTTTAAAAAAAAAAAAAAAAAAAATAATAAATAAATTGAGTTTTGTTTTCTAAAAATAAGTCAATACTTCGCTGCTTGAATTGTTGGTCAGCCCTCGCTTTTCCCGCCTGACCAATCCCTTTTAACAGAATATGTCTATTTATTTTTATATTCAATTTGAATTGCAAGTACTTACATCTACTACCATGGAGCATCACAGAATACGGATGTTTTACAACATGCTTTGATGCGACAAGTTCACGTCTGAAGTCTCCATCTGATGTTGCGACTGATATGGAATTCATATGAGCATCAACCCAGTATATCAAATCATTTTCTATATCTAGGAATGAATTATTTATAAAGTTATTCAAACTGGAAATATGTGGTTAACAACAACTATTTGATACTCCCGAAGTATGTGAACCAAGATGGTGGACACCGGAACGTAGTATGTGTACCAGGAAAAGGGTTAGGCCATCTCTTTATCCCAGTTTTCCCTATTTCAGTTCTAATATACGAGTTCGGAGACTAGCCAAGTGACTCTCGTAGTATTTGTACCTGAAGTTATGGACTAACCCTAACCTGGTACACATACTAAGTTCCAGTCCTTGCCATCTTGGTTTACTTCACATACTTTGGAAGTATCCAACTTTCCATCATACCTAAAGCAATTCCGTTCGGCCATTTTATATCATGACCGACAACAGTGAGACAGGTATCCATTCCACTCATATGACATTTCTCTATCTTAGCATTGTCCCCCCAGTCTGTAACGTACATGTACCTGAAAAATAATTCATTTGTAAACTGCAACCTCACTATATATTCTTCCGCGTCAATTCTATAGTTGGATTTTTCGTGTGTACGTTCTGACCATTTGTCCAAAGCAAGTGAATGAATAAATACTAGAATGGTCTATATTACGAATTTTTGTTACGGACGCCACCAGAAACTTGGTCAAAGTCAAAAAAGCTGTCCAAAGCCTCCGCAAATGCCTACTCTAATGTGAAAACGAGCTTATATAATTCTGATCTTAGTTGTGATGTTGTGATTCTGTCATTAGTCCACTCAAGTAAATCGGCAGTCACAACTAATGTTAACTAAAGAAACAGTTTCACGTAATTCTAATGCACGAATAAACTATATACACGAATGAGATATGATAATTGGCAAACGGTATATTCTTCAGTTATATATATATATACTATAATAGTCAATACGCAAATGTACTAACGCAAATTTACAATGAGCTGTTGGTACATATCAATGCCATATGCGTGAATAAAAATGTGTGGCGATTTACTCAAGAATCTAATGCAAGTGAAGCCGTTTGAAAATAGTCAAAATGGCTGTATGCTTACTTCAACTACCTTAGTTGAAAACGTAATTTGACTACTCTCATTTATTGGTTAAACATTTTCATATCTGGCAACAATTGTACAAACCCCCTTTTCGGATCCAATGCTATATCTCTCGGCACATAACTTGCAGGTCTATTAATCAATGTCTTGGGATAATTTCCGAGATCAGTCGAAACACTAACTGTATGTAGATCTGCGTCCGACCAGAAAAGCAACTTGTGGATCCAATCATACGCCAATCCATCGGGTCGCTAAAATTAAACCAGTGCGATTTATAATGAAACGAGAGAGAAAAAGATGCGACCAATTTAAAGACAACATTATGGGCCAAGAAATTCAGCTTGAGACATAGTCAGCAAACCAGTGCATAGTGCTTATTTTGATGGCGATAACGACAAATTTAGGCTCAAACATGATTTCAAACAAGGTGGTAGCCTAGGTTATTCCGGGTTCGTATTATCGGTGGCATGTAATTCAAGTTATTAGGAAACAATTATCGTCAACCTTAGATTGCGAAGGAGTTCACAAAATAATTTTCCATAAGAAGTTTGCTTAAAACAAGGAAACGCTCACTGATCCCCAACCAAATTGGGTGATATTTGAGCAAAGTTCCGCCGACCACCGATCTAATTGTGCGTTAGTAAATACAGATTGTCCCAAGACTTGAAGCACCTCAGCCTCGGGTCATTTAGATTTTAGATCATGAAAACAGATTGAATTCCACTTAATTTGAAGTGGAGAAATATAATCTCGCCCAAATATATTTGCAAGACGTTGATAACGAAGATATCCTGTAGATGTTTTAAATGAGTCAGTAGTAGTTAACGTTCTAGCATAAACAGAAAGAACAGTAATTTCACCTTTACTATGAGGGAAGACATTGCTTGTACTTGTTTTCCGCCTTCTGATGCGGTGAGATTTCCTCTAAATGAAATGAATCGAATATTTGAAATGTTGCATTTCCCTCAAAAACTGTAGAATCTCCACCCGAACTAACCATCTAACCCCTAACCCTATCAAATAATTAGTCCAGATCAAATGAAGGATCAGCTGGTATTTACCAGGTAAATTAAAGAATAAACTGGTATTATCGGCTTAGGTGGGTTGGGGGAGGGGGATATTCTTTAGTTGGAAAACGGGATCAACTGAAAAATCTCCACCCCAACTAAGACCCAAAGGGTGAGTCCAGCTGAAGAATCTCCTCCCCAGACGGGTCCGGAGAGAGATTCTTCAGTTGATCCAAAAATGGGAGAAATATCGTATGAGATTAGTATTTCAATATTTGGTATAGGATCAAAAATCAATCAAGCGAAATATCGCGGAAATTTTATTTTTTATTCGTTGTCACCATTCTTATATTTGCGAGTTTTATAATGGGAGCTTCCATTATTATCAATTCTATCAACATCTCTGTAAGGTCTTTTCTGATTTATTCTTTTTATGATCAATTATGTGCTTTCAGACAGTATGCATATGTACTACCACAACACAATTTCTTGTAACTATCGCTTTTAAATATTGTTAACCTGAATATTTTCATCGCCTCCACGTCGCTCCAATATAGAATATTTCTAGCTGAATCCAAAGCGATAGCAACAACGTTCTTCTGATTTTTCACCAGAACTTCCACACTAGGAAAATATCGAACATGGTTAAAAATGTCAACTTCAAAAAAGTTTTTAATTTATTACTTCAACAAGCGAATTTAAGAGAAGAATTTAAAACTTCCTCCTCGGCGGTCACCTCTCTATAGTATAATGGAAAGTAAACAACTGTTCAGTATAACCTTCGATAAATAGGGTGTGCTATCCACAGTCGAAAGCAGGCTGGCGAAAACAAACCCAAAGCAAACAGATATAAAATTGAAAGATATCAAATGGCAGACTATACTATATCAGAACAATTGTAATTCGATTCAGCGCCGCTACTCGCGGGTTCCCGGATTCATGGAAAGTATGACGTCATGTTTGAATGGGCCATTTCTCAACATGCGGAAGAAGTAAACTAAAAATTTCTCACCTTCCTTTGCTCACAACTCTGACGTCTTTTTGATTTGAAAACAGAAGTCGTGGTATCGGTGTTTGTTTTCCAGGGTCTGGAATAAAAAGCATTTTATACATTTGTTCTTACCATTCGAACCCAGTGGGTAAAGGGGACAGATAATTGTAATGAGGAATGCATACAGATCAATGGCTGGCCACAGGATTTCCATCCCCACGGGTGACGTAAAACAAGCAATAATTTCCATGGGATGGTACGTAAAAATACGTCTCCTGTATAAGCCTGTAGGAACAACGACAAATTTGTAAAATATTTTGCAGGTTGTAGGTGTCAAACATTATAATTTACTTTGAGCAAAATACAAACTCGATAGATTGAAAATATACCTGCAAAAGAAAAAAGAGGCGCCAGTTTGTCTTCGAGCTTCAGCCATGATTTTGCGTTGTCGTCCACGACTTTCTCCAGCTTCTGACTCGACTTCTTAATAAGAACTGTGCCGCCAATCGCACCTGTCATATAGATATAGAGATATTTTGAAATATCTAAAATATGAAGCTCTGTCTTCCTATCACAAAAAAAAACGAAGGAGGGGAGGGGAAAAGTATAAAGTGGGACGTTGATTATGAAAAGGGAATCACTTTACCGTTAATTTTTCTTTCTCTAATGGCAGCTGCACAAACAAACGAGTCCACGGAGTATCTGACAATATCATTATCGTTTGTCGAACTCCACATTCGCTTCGATATGTTAAAACATCCTCCCGGGCAGTCTAGTTTCCACGAATGCAGAGGAAATTCGTCTGCCCTTATATAGCAGACAGATGGCGCTGAAACAAAAATCAAACTAACGAATTCTATCATCAAAAAATGCCTCTGTGTTTAATGCTCCAGAAAAGGTTGCCATAAAATAGGTTGGAAATTAATTATATATACTTTAAAACGGCAGTCACAAATGTGACTCCCAGTACTTCAGTATGAGTAATAAAGATAAAGAATTGTTATATATTCACCCACATATCTCTGCTATAGACATGTTTACATACAACTATTCTAGGAAGGGACTATTAGGTGCTGCCAATGTGTGACATCTCAAGTATGGAAATGGACGTGAGTTGTTTATCGGAAGGTTTCAGATGTTGAGTCTGTGATACTTGTAAAATGCCGGTCAATTCTTTGGTACTCCCGTAGTATGTGCACCAGGTTAGGGTTAGGCCGTAATTTTATTCCGACTTTCCCTATTTTAGTTCTATCTCGAGTTCAGGGACTGTCTGTGTTAGCCAAGTGAATATACCCCATATCCATTGGTTTCAGTTCCTTTATACAACTTGATGTAAAGTAAGCGAATAAAATGAGTTACCTTCATATTGGTACACACATTTCTGGAGTGCCTTTTTTTTAACGTTACGCCCTTGGCTATTTTATTCGCCATAGACGACGTTTTGAAATGATTTCAAAGCAAATACTTGTTTTTAAAGTAAAGTAGGATATTTACTCTTTCTCACCTTCACAAAAGGTGCAAATATCCAGTTCATATTTCCCTTCTGGTTTTGCGCGTGATGGACACCACAGTACTCTGTCGGAGATAGCACAGTGCATGTATTGAATTCCTTGATGAATAAAGGGTAAAACACATCGTTCGCCTGCTAGTGTGCATTGTAATTCTAAAAAATTTGATAGGATAAGATTTACATATTTATCCCGGTGGGAAAGGGAAGCCGATAATACGGCTTAACCATATGGCGAACCACGGCCTCTCGTCCGGTTACCAGTCCATGTCGGGTATGGTATAAGTTATTTTATTTTTCGGAAGCATGGGAAGCATTTTGATAATCTGTTAACTCTCTGTAACAGAAGTTGGCGCACGATGAATCACGTTGAGTTTTCGCCGCCGTCAACTCTTAAAATTTATATTCATTCATAAAATACAAAATATTGATGCGTAATTCCGAATCTCTTACAAATCATATATATACTCAAATATTTCACTCTCAAAACAAAACTCCAAGACCTTATCATTAAAATATAAATTTATATTCAATAAGAAAACATCAATAGTTATTTTTAGGTAATAGATGTCGCCGGATGAGAACGGAATAGGCCTAAGTCACAATTTTGAGTTTTGAGAAAAACGCAAAAAACAATTTTTTATTTTTGAATTCCCAGATATTCACAATTAGTAAAGTCCTGAGCTCTGGTTATTTTAATGTGGATGAGAATATTTTCAATAATCAATATTTTTTGGCACTTCAGCTTCAATTCCTTCCTGCTTTTTTACCCCCATAAGGGATTTTGGCCCATTCTGTTCTCAACAACTTCTGAAATTTTTTGTATGGGATGCAAGGTAAAACAAGGTGACTTAGGCCTAAGTTGCACTGAACAAATTTTCAGGGATGTAAGTTTCGGACATTCCATTTCTGATGTTCATGCCCATCATATTGGAACTTAGGACTATCTTTTTTCCCTATTTTGGGGTTTTGAGCCATGCTCTACAAGGTGGTGGTCTTGAAATCCTGAATTTCTCAATAATAAAAATTTAAGCTGGACTTAGGCCCATTCTGTTCTTAAATATTTTAGTCCTAAGTCCAGCTAAAATTTTTATTATTAAGAAATTCAGGATTTCAAGACCACCATCTTGTAGAGCATGGCTCAAACCCCCAAAATATTGAAAAAAGTCAATTTTCCAAAAATGTGACTTAGGCCCCGTCTGTTCTCATCCGGCGATGTGTTCCTAGAATGCTCCAACAAACTTCCAATAATATACCATAAAGCAGTGGTTTTCATTCAATAAATAACGAATAAAATCAAATTTACTGATAATTAATTGTACAGGTTTCCTCGGACTTATGGAATGTTTCATAAGCATTCCACTCCACCAAAAAAAGTTGAAACCACCGCTCTGAAAGAATGTTTGTGTCTCGTTTAGTTCAAACTTTCACTTACTTGACAAATCCTGAATTGCAGTAGCGACGCCACACAGCACCAATATTAGTTTTACTGACATTATCATTTCACGTATATAGCTTTCTCAGAAGATACCAAGAAATAGAACACCGTGGCTCGAAACGTCCTCTAATATAGTTGCCACTATAACCACGTCGAGTTCGATCAGGTATATCGTGATTTCGAATACCTTGTGAAACTACCAGGGGAAGTTTTTGGGTTCAATTCATAATATGCGCAGTAATAAATGAGTCGACCCCCTATACAGAATTTCTATCTTCGAAGATAAAAGTAGACAATCAAACTTGTACGGTTTATGTGACAAGAAATCTCACTGTGCATAGAGGACAATAGGTTGCTAAATTACATTTAAATAAGGTTAGAATGTCTGAAATTATTTATCTCTGTTTGGGATTCAAAAACACCAACATTCTAGTGAAACCAGACATGGTCTGTTATCATTGTTCGTCAACATTCAGGCGTATCGCGTGACATTCTTTACGCCTTTGTCTGAAGATTACGCCATATCTCGTGAACGCCTTCTGTATATTAGCAAAACATGGCGCAATTCATTATATTTGAATTTTAAAAAGGGGAATCGAAGTATATTTCTCATTGAGTAGAGGTTGTTTAGAAAGTCCCACATAAACACACATTGTTAATGACTTCGTTGACAAACGTTTCGAAACAACAGAACGGAACAGATAGCAAAATGCTTCGCCAAACATTATTCGCTGTCTTCTTAAGTTTATTGAGATATTATTTACTTTAATCACAATTCAAATATTAATGAACAACGAACTAAAATGTATCTGACATTTTTCCTGGTTATTCAAATGATCAACGTTTTTGAAGCCATTGATATTGTTTTGTAAAAAGGTCGTTCAGAACATCTATATTTAGAACATTGCAAAATATATTCGCGTCAATACTGTGATACATAAGAGTACATAGTACAGTACACGGGTGACGACATGTTGGCAAATAGCAAAGGTATCAGCGGCGAAAGTTGATGTGGAAAAAAAGACTATCCCAATCACACAACAACAAAGTCAATTTTCCAATTCGACAATTCTGCGATAACAAAAAAGATTGATTGATTGATTGATTGAATGGGATCAACATTTTATTCACAGTGACCAAGCGTTTCAATACAAGACAATTTTACCAAAGAGTTGTAAAGTAACACTATCACACGGACACGATATGCTTCTAACCCAGGAAAAACTTTCGGTGGCTGCTAGTTTTTTAAAGAAATCTTTCGCCTTGCAAAATTGTCTCATCTAACAACCATATTTAAAATCATTAATCAGTTAAAATTATCTAGGAGAAAGGATGTGATATTTTTGAAGCTAGTAGCAAGATTGATTCTTTTAAAATGTAATTGTGGCAGGATAATGTACCAGAAAAATATGCAGGAAAATGTGTTTTTCCGATTTTGAATGTCTGAAATATTTCATTGAGACTTAATATTGGGAAAATTGAAACGCATGCGTTTGTCATGTCTGCAGACATGAAAACCAAGAGGGGATCAATCATACACACCGTGTTTCCCCGAAAATAAGACCTAGCCTGAATTTTTGAATGATTTCAATATAGGCCCTCTCCTTAAAATAAGACCTAGTCCTAGTCGATAGCACAAACTTTTTTTTAACTATTCGATAGCAAGACATATATATACACGTTTAAAAAGATTATAATCTATATTTAGCAGTTATTTCAAATTAAAAGTGAGTAAGTATATTTAAAAATCTCGTAACTTTATACTTTGTAATTTTGTTTTTGACAAATGAAAATAAAAGGCATCCCCAAAAATAAGTACTAGTGATAATTTTAGAGAATTTTTAAATTGAAATAAGACCCTGTCTTATTTTCGGGGAAACACAGTAAGCATCTTGATGTGCTACTACTAAACAACTTCAGAGCCTATTTTCCGGATGTTGAATATCAGAATCTTAGTTCTCTAATATGGGTCGTTCAGTCATTCACAAGTGGAAAGGTTGCTCTTGAACACACAACTGGTGAATTACAATCAGATCTTGTACGAATAGCAAAGTTCACCCTCTCAGCGACCTGAGCCCATGCCATTTTGCATGGGCAATTTTAAAATTATTTTTTTTGTCAACCATTAAGCCCTGAAGCTTCACTCTTGGCTTTTTAAAAGCGTGTGCTAGAGTTCTATTCGGCAATATATCTTTAAAACACACTCCTCCGAAAAAAAAAATTTATGCAAAAAAATTTCTAAAAAAAAAATTGGACCTTGAGAAAGTCTGTGTACACTAGAGGGTTAATAATTAATTCCAAATTAATTAATTTTTTCTTCAACGTTTTCGTCAGGTTTTTCCCAACATAACAATACCGAAACGACTATTATAGCATAAATGGTTATTACTCTGAAATTCACAATTTTATTTATAGAATTATCATGTTCAACGCTTCAATTACCGATTTTGATGACGTCACAGCTCTCATTATTACTGCACAGACCACCCTCAATGCAAAAAAATTAAATTTTTTCGACGGAAATGCGCGTAGAACGACGTAAACAATCCCATACGCGCAGTTACGCGGGTAAGCTCATATGAGATAAAATTTATATTTACGCTTGCGATGGGTAAACTACTGTTAATATGGATTTCAGCACCTTCGTATAGATTTAACTCGCGGATACACGGGTGCAAATGTATGGGTTCAAATGTACGGTCACCGAAACATATAACTGGCTAACTAATCGCATACCCGACAAGGACTGGTAACCTAACGAGAGGTCGTGGATCGCCATACGCTTAAGCCGATTTAGCGGCTTTCATCACCCCCGGGATAAATATGTAGGCGAAATCCTATCATAATTCACGTTGGCACTAGACGTATCATCGTCACAGGACTCGGTAAAGCTGAGACATGCCCAGCACCTATACCAGTACAATTGTACTAGTTTCAGATTCGTCGACGATATTATTTTGGGGAAAATTGTGGGTGAAATATTTCGTTTTGGCTTTCGTGTTTATTTATTTGAGCATTGCTCTCTTGTTTTTTCTTCTTCCGGTCATTGCATTCTCATTTTGGTGTAGAATGTAGATGTCGAGGCTCTCCTGCACATGTTGCTGAAGACTAATATTGATTTTTTCTTTGTAGTATCTTGATATTAAACTTTTGCCATAACATTCGCTGGTGTTTTTATGTAAGCCTGTTGATTTATCGTCGCATTCCGTGAGGTGTATAACCAGGAAATATGTCTTTACATTTCACTTCTGGCACTGCCACGTTCGTATTACCAATGTGACTATCCATCCAACTCCAAGGGATGCATCATTGATGGACATCTTTTTGTCGAGATTGTATCGTCGATTTCTTATATATATATATATATATATATATCATTTATGTTTTACTTGTTTTTGGTTGTGTCCGAGCAAGTGATTACGATGCAAAATTTGCACCTTTTATCATAAATATCATTGGCATTGGGGCGGGTGTATAGTTGGTGTGTTTTAGATACCGGTGCCACATTAACGTGCGAAGATTTGCTTTACTTTTTCCGTTTCCTTCGCACGTTTTTGGAATGAAGAACTGTGGAATAGCATTTCCTTTCTTTTCTGCCAGTCCACGGGCGGTAGTTTTGTAGGTCACTGGCTAAGTTGTGTCGCATTTTCAGATTTGCTACTCAGGTCACGTGCTTTGTGGCAATCGCTACCGAAGAAAAAGCCGGACTTGTGTTGTGCTGTGTTTAAACCTCAGTGTTATATTATATATATTACAGTATATTTGGGAAAGCTAATTTTTCATGCCGCTGGTTAGCGTGGCCGAAGGTCAGGTGGTACAGTGGTAGATGTAACTGTGTAAGGAAAATGCAAGTACCGGTACCGCTATGGCTCTGAAGGGCTCTATTACGTCACTGTGACGTACCGGTAATTTTTGGATGGCGTAGTCAGGTGAGGGTTAGGATTGATATTTCAAAAAATTGTTATGCTACTCACACTAGAAGTGGATTAGGTACGAAACTACATGAGACCCGGCCTATGGTACGGTACCGGTACGGTACCGGTATCTGTAACGCAGCCTAGTTATTTGAACAACTAGGGTGGTGTAGCAAGTCTGCGGACGATTTCATTCAAACCACTATAAAACAGTTATTTTTTCACCGTAGGTGCATTGGCATTTATTCTACACGCTAAACCTTGAATTAACTTCCTATGACCAGGGGTTGAAGCTATACAAACCACCAAAGTACGACACTCGGAAGGTGTATTTGCGACCGAACAGCCAGTGTGCAACCACGGATTTCAAGCCTCGAACATCATTTCTGCTGCGTCAAGACTAGGGCATACGCAGCCATGCGTGAAAAAATTGGGCTTCTAATTGCATTTCTGACTGTTGTATATTTTAAGAACACGGTCATTTCGAACAAAACTTTTCAAATTATATGCAAAGCACAGCATCACAGCAATCAAACAGACAAAAACACGGTGTTCGCAAATCGGTCTACAAAGATATTATCGACGTATTGGAAATGCGCACCCCTATTCCCCCTCCTTTAAATGTAGAAACGCGAAAATTTAAAAATGGTTAAAAGAAACACAGTTCTATCCCCTTGCCAAGTTTCATCTTTTTATCTCTTATATTTGTATGGATTTTCAAGTTTTTTTAAGGGGACAATGGGTAGTTGGCGACATGAAAAAATGGTCCGTTTTTTTTCTTTGGTCGGGTTTTCGGTTGTAACTTTTTTGTTTGTGGCCGCATTTTAGTGTAATTTGCAGAGATATGAGGGACAAATGGACGATCACGCGTGAGAAATATCGTCGCGGTTCGTTAATTTTTATGGCACTAATTAGATCGATGGAGTTGATGCCGCAAATAGGTCGTGGCCGCAAAGTGGGTAAGCCACCCTACCGATACCAGACTAATGCACAAGCAAGGTTTTTCTTTCAACTTTCATTATCTTCAAATCTTTTGGTGGCCTACCCAGTCACCAGTTTGCGATCAACTTACAGACTTACGCGCTGCAGGGCTAAGAACTCTGAACTAGCAATGCTAACCCTAGAATTTCTGGATTTTAACTCTCTGTAGAAAGATACAACGAAAATTTTTATCGTAGAATATGGCAAATTTTTGGGGAAAATCAAGCGTTTGCTAAGTTTGACAATTCCCTACCCTGTACTGGTCAAAAGATGTAAATTCATTACTACAAAATTTGCATAACTGTTTGATCGATTTTTTTTTTAATCTGAGTGCTCGACTTTTGGTGTCGTTGCACAAGGCTTGTAATTGTAATTTGTAATATCTGAGTTATTGGATTTATCATTTCAACAAATTTTATTTTTTCTAACTTAATTTCCCGTTAGGATTTATGTCTAAAGGGTTTTTTATTTATCAGTTGTACTTTTTTTGTAATTCAGTGATCAGGCATATTTTTGCTAATTGTTTTACAGATTTTCAATCACTATGAGTTTTTTCGGCTTAGGCCAAAGCGCCGATATTAAAATCAACCTTGATGCGATTGAAAAACGTGAAAAAGTACAACATGGAGATCATAAGGAACCATTATTTGTTTATTATGATGGAGAAACAGTTTCAGGAACAGTTAATTTGGGGATCAAAAGTGGAAAATTAGAACATAAAGGCATCAAAGTGGAACTGGTTGGTCAAATAGAGATTTTATACGACCGTTCGAGTCGACATGATTTCACCAATTTGGTGAAGCAACTCGCACCAGCTGGGATTCTCACTGAAAACAAATCGTATCCTTTTGAATTTCCTCATGTCGAAAAGCCCTACGAGTCCTACACTAGTCCTAATGTAAGGCTTCGTTATTTCCTACGAGTGACCATTAGCAAACGTTTAACTGACCAAACAAAAGAGCTTGAAATTGTAGTTCACATGTTGAGTGCATATCCAGAGCACAATAATAGTCTAAAAATGGAGGTCGGGATTGAAGATTGTTTACATATTGAGTTTGAGTATAATAAGCAGAAGTATCACCTCAAAGATGCAATCATTGGAAAGATTTACTACCTTCTCGTGAGAGTTAAGATAAAGCATATGGAAATCCATGTTATCAAACGTGAAACAATGGGCAGCGGACCAAACGTTTTTCATGACGAGGAAACTATAGCAAAATATGAAATCATGGATGGAGCTCCTGTCAAAGGGGAATCAATACCAATTCGTTTGTTCCTTGCTGGATATAACCTCACTCCAACAATGAGAGATATATACAAAAAGTTTTCTGTTCGCTATCTTCTTAATCTTGTCCTCATTGATGAAGAGGAACGTCGATATTTCAAGCAGCAAGAAATCACTTTATGGAGAAAGGGGGAGGGTCAACAACGAAGACCGCAGAAAGCGATCGAAGACTCAACGCAGCGTTTCACTGGTTGATTAAAAAATCTTTCGAAACTTTCGTCTCCTTCAATCTGCAATATCTTTTCGCTATTTCAAATGACTATTTTTATAATCATTATCTAGGGTTTTGTGACACTTTTGATCATTATATTTAAATACCTGGCAATGTGTCAAGTTCTTCAAAAACTTGGACATTTTAAACTATTTTGAATATTGATAGTTTTCGTGCGGTTAAATCATATTTGCCAAGCGTTTCAAAAATATTAGATGCCATTCTTGTTATTCAAAAATAATATTCCAGATATAAAAAAATCAAATAATAACCTATCACTGAATCACCTATTTAAAAAACAGTTATTCAATTCACATTGATTCCATTTAATTAATGCAGATTTCATATCATATCTTTTCTATATTTATCAGTTTGTGAAATGTGAATATTAATTTGAGTCTGTATGTTCAAATCTGTTATCAAAGTATATCCTTATTCTTTTAAACAAATATTTTGTGCTTTTCGTGCTATCAACTTGATTTTTCTTTTTGATTTCTTTTCAATCATTTGAAATCGTCTCTTCTATGAGTGTGTTTTATGAGGATTATTAGCAGACTTTTATAAAATTTATATGATAGGTTAATTGCTCTGGTCAATGGTATTTGAGATGCAAATAATTTGAAATTTGAATGTTCCAGTCTGCTTGAAGTCTTGAAATTTTATAATATTATGTATGAAAACCTGATTCTTATATTGCTGACTTTATGATACATTGTCATCTAATCATTTTCAGACTATCATAATTCAAGCCATAGTTTGAGGATGTCCCAATGTGGATTTATATAAAGTTTAAGAATTACAATGTATTTTAAATTATAATAATCTGATCAAACTCATTTGAAGCGAAAATATTTTCTAAATCCTATTCGATGTAAATCATAGTTTTATTATTATCGAAGAGTTAATTTATCAAACTTTGATATTCTGAATAATAATAACTTGAATTTCACTCAACAAAATTTTTTGATACTCTTTTCAATAGCTGCCGGTCTATTAAAATATCTGATGTATATGTTTTGCAACTAAAAAGATTTGCATGGATAGATACTAGATTGCATATCTTATCAATACATTGATTGTTTCTGATTTCATTATTGAAATGTTGTATTTTTTCGTGTCATTTGTTTGATGTTAGATTAATAAGCCAAGTTCTATGCTTTATAATTTGTTCATTTTTGCTTTAATGTATCATGCATTTTTGTCTATTACCAGATTATATCTGTAATTTGTAGATAGGTAATAAACATGACTGAAATAAGTGGAAATGAAATACGTGTCATCAGACATGCTGCAGAGACCTTGAAATCTTTAAACCGCAGTCGAAAAGAAGGACTTCTTTGTGATGTCACTATTGTTGTTGGCAAAGAAACTTATCTTGCACATCGTTATCTGTTAGCTGTCTCTTCAGAATATTTCCGGAATCTTTTTTCCGAAGATAAAAAAGAGGAAGTAGTAACTATTGAAGACACTGAGCCAAATATTGTAAAACAATGTATCGAGTTTATTTATACAGGAACTGCAAACGTTACAGATGAAAATGTTTGTCCTCTATGGGAAGCTTGTAGTAAATTGCAGCTACCTGATATTGCTGAACGATGTGCTAATTACCTTGTTGCTGCTATGACTGGGAAACGATGCCTTTTTGCTCGAGAGTTGGCAATTAAACATGGACACGAACGATTGAAAAAGGCTGCAGAAGAGTTTGGATTGGAACATTTTGCAGATATTAGTGTGGAAAACGAATTTCTCAAATTGAATAAAACTGATGTTTTGTTTTTTCTCAAAGCTCCTAGAAATATAGATTTACCATCGACTGTCGCTTACTTTGCAATCATCAATTGGATACACCATGATTTCATGTGTAGATCGAATGAATTTCCTGTGCTTCTTCAGTACATTGATATAAGTCGACTTTCAAACCCTTTTCTTTTGCAGACAATTCGAAATGAACCATTGTTTAGCATTTTTGACGAGTCAAGATCTTTGTTGGAAAATGAATTAGTTTCAAGAATATCTAAAAGGGATTTGTGTCCTGCAGTTATTTTGTTTGATAGCTCAGTATGCACCACTAAGGCTTATAACATCAACACCCATAGAGTGTGCAAAATGCGTGGCCTCGAAAAAAACATGTACGAAAATTGTACTGCTTTATGCTTGGAAGAATTCATCTACGTTTTAAAGGGGGATGAGACATATCGTCTTAACTGCACACACAAAATGGGAGTTTGGAGTAGAATCGCAAATCTGTCTTGTACAAGAATTTCTAAAATTGAAGCAGGAGTTTTGAAGCACCATATCTATGTTACAGGTGGCAAGATTGAATGTGATGGTGCAACTGTATCCCCTTCTGCTGAATATTACCATCCTTCTAAGAATGTGTGGCTAAGTATGCGGAACATGCCCACTGCAAGATATGGTCACGTTGTCGTTGGCTGTGGTGATTTTTTATATTGCATCGGAGGGCGTGGTAAAGAAAATATTATACTTGATACTATGGATAAGTTTGATCCATCAATGGGAGTTTGGTTTTCAGAAAACAGCCCACTCAACAGACCAAGAGCAGATGCAACGGCCGTTTCCCATTGTGGCCGAATTTATGTTCTAGGAGGCGAAATTCAACCAGGTAAAATCACTAACTCTGTTGAGTATTATGTACCCACTGTTGGCACTTGGACCATTATAGCAAGAATGGTTTTACCTCGGTCCATTTTTAGTGCGGCTATATTTGAAGATAAGTTATTTGCCATTGGAGGAATGGAAGAACAGCAAGACAAAGGTACTGTTTCCATAGAAACCATGAATTTGGACAATAATACTTGGACCTTGCATGGCATTGTTAGAGGAATTGGAAAACTCGAGGCTGCTGTAGCCAAAATGATCTGATTTCATTTAGGTTTGTGTTTAGTTATAATTTCAGTTAACTTGAAAATAGTTAACATATGTTTGTTGAACATTAATATCAGAATCAGTTAAAACTTATGTAGTATGCGAACCAAGATGGCAGACACCGGAACGTAGTATCTGCACCAGGTTAGGCCATAATTTCTGGTACAAACCTGAGTCACTTGGCTAGTCACCGAACTCATAATAGAACTAAAATAGGGAAATTATAATAAAAATATGTCCTAACCCTAACCTGGTACACAAACTACAAGACCGCCAAACTTGGTATGGCAATTTTCTTATTTATACCGTGTTAACTCATGTTTCATACTGTTTTTTTATCTTTATCTTTTTAGCTATGGTGGTCGTGTTTATCAAGATATTATCTTCTTTATCTTCAAACATAGTGTTATTGTAGTAGAATTCAATTCCATACTATTTATGTTAGTAACTTTTAGTGGTAATAAGATCTTGCAATCAAACTGGAAGAAGGATTCATTAGTGTTTATAAACTCTGTTAAATCATAACCTAAAAAAATAATTTTCCCAAAAAATTTCATTGCATATGGTGAGAAATTATAATACTCAAAATTTATCTTACAAAACTTCAGCATAAAACATAGTGACTTTTAAGGGAGAATTTTAGAATATCATATTTTGGAGTTGAAATCAATACCATGCTAATTTGAAACATAAAATTTGTTTATGTTTTTTAGTTTAACCAACAATGTTTGTCTTAATGACAGAAACTGTTTATATTAAAAATACCTACCAGTATGTAATAGTATAGTAAAAATATGCTTTGCTGCTAATTAAAGTTTATCAAATATTTATAATATCCATGTATTGAATGTAATATTATTATAAATATATTAATGGCTCAAAATATACTTTAAGTCATTTTACGGACCGTAAGGCGCGCTTTGAATCCCCTTTTTCTCAAAAATCGATTGTGCGCCTTATAAGTCAGTGGGCATAATATCAGATAGTGCACTATGCTTTATTGCCTACACTCAAATCCAGTACCAGTACATGCCGCATAGTTCCGTGTGCCTTATATACGGACTAAACCCAAATCTAAGCATGGTGCGCCTTAGGGTCTGTAAAGTACTGTACTCTGTTTTTGAGTGAGGTTTGCAACTTCTCAAATACACACTTTATTTTGTTAGATGTTGTAGAATGAAAACTTGAATTCTTTCAGTTGATTGTTTTTTTGATATATAGTTATATAGCCTAGATTAAGATGGCTTTGCTGTCTCAGATTGGACGAAATCATGGACGGATATTGGCATTGACAAGGCCGCTTGCATTTTCTGGATACGTTGCTCCAAAATCAACAGGGACTGCACAAGAGCAGATCGATGAATTTTGGAACAAGAATAAAACGTTGAATCGTCCTATGTCGCCCCATATAACAGTATATAATCTGCACCACGTTACATCAGCTATGTCTCTCACCCATCGTGCAACTGGTATTTTTCTTGCTGGTGCTGTGTCTGCCTTCGCATTCGCATCTCCATTGCTTCCGAAAAATCTTGATGAAGTTATATTATCATTTCAAAGTTGGGGAGATACTTGGATTGGTTATTTGGCGATTATGGACTTTAAAATTTGCCTTGTTCTTCCTATAGTTTTTCACACTCTTAATGGACTGAGACATCTTGCATGGGATACTGGAAAAGGATTTGAAATGTCGGATTTGCGGAAATCTGGTTACGCAACTGTTGGACTGAGTTTGCTTATTTCTATTATGATTGTGTTGGGTTGCCGATCAACTTAAATGTTATGATATTATCTGTGCATTCATCAAGTATGATTGATCAATGAATGATTGAATTTGTTGTCGTTTTTTGTTGAACTATACTTGGTCATGGTAGAATATTTTTCTGTGGGTTCCACTTTTTGGTAAAAATGTACAGATTGAAATCTATATTTTATGTTGAAAATATGACAAAACCTTTTGATCTGTTAATGTTGAGGAACTGTAGCTTTACATTAATGTGTTTCAGCAAAGAAAATGATAAACTTCCTGAAGGAAATTGCTTGTCCGTTATTTATGTAATGATATAAAGACCTTTACTTGATATACTTAGATATTTGATTGGTTTGAATTAAAATTGAGAAAATAGAGTATTTTATGAACGTTATCAACACAAAGTGGTGATATGAAATAATGATACCTTGGATGCGCAGTTCTGAACATCCAAGGACCACCATGCTGGGCTCATTTGTCCTAAAACAATAATCTGAAATAGGAGTTTCCATAAACAACAAAGATTGGCAATCTTTATCTTGATGATATTATTAAGAGTTTTCCTTCATCTCCACTAATATATTTTATCCTTGCTTGACATTTATTCTAATTTATAATTGCCTGCTGTCAAATGTTTTCAACTGGTTTTGTGTTAATATTATAGCTTTTTTATGAATGATAGTAGATTAAAATACAGAACATGGATCATAGCAAAAGATCCAAAAATCAAATTATTGAAAGACCTCTGAGTAAAGGAAGACAAGAAGTTTGTTTGAGTGTATTTGCTTTACTATTCAGTGAAATGATTCAATATTCTCAAGATCGAGTGAAATCTGTCGCTGAATTACAGGTGATGGTTTTGGCTGTAATGTGGGATGTTCCCTCGTGAATTTAAATAGCTGAAACTGCTTTATTTTTAGACGAAATTGGCAGATTTTGGACATGTTGTCGGTTCCAAAATGGTTGATCTTCTGGTTGTTAGAGATAAAGCGAGTAAAAGAGAAACGAAAGTTCTTAATATTTTACTTTTTATAAAGGTTGGTACAATTAATTTCGCTAGGTGATAATGAAAAACTGCTTCTTTTGAGACTTATTGATGATGTAACAATCAATATTAATCGTATCGCTTTACTTGCTCAAATAATGTTGAAAGTTGGCAAAATGATATAAATGCTAGTAAATAGTATTTAAAATACCTCTCGGTTTGCATGTAAATTTTGTTTCGTGTGAATTTACTGCCTTTGACATGTAGCTACTGGTATTGAACCCGTCCACAATATGTTCATTAGACTTTTCTTTTTGGCATAATATAGCGTAACCAATTTATTAAACACTTGGTGAGGCCGCTAACTGCTAGGCCACCTTTTAGATAATAAGGAAAGAGTGTGGGTGTTATTTACAGTCTCAATGGAGGCTGGCATGATATATGTCATTGTGTTCCATCATTGCTCTGGTTTAAATTGAATTATCATTGATATTATTGAGTGTAAATCCATGCAATTGTATGACACATGCCTATCCATACTTACAAGTATGTGGAAAAAATGTCTGTTACTGATTTATTAACACATCATGCTAAGCGCTAGGAATATGTTACATTTTTTACTCCATACCATTGGTTACTCTTTGATGATTTGCAATTTTGAATCTCCTGTGGGATAATTATTGAGTGTTCCTGACCTCTCTGTCGTCACAGGATACTTTATGTAATCATTATATATTCAGTTACGGCCTCCTCCACCATCCCACCAGTCTTATCAAGTTCTCTTTACACAATATGAACATGAAAAATTGGATTCTATCCATTTTCTAAATTTCAGGGAACACTATGGAAAGCACTTTTTGGTAAAGAAGCAGACAAGCTTGAACAAGCCAGTGATGATGATAAAACTTATTATATAATTGAAAAAGAACCAATCATAGCAAAGTACATATCTGTTCCTCGAGACAAGGTATATTAAATGTTCATTTCACTTGATTTTGTTTCTTTTTTTTTGGTACTTCCGTAGTATGTGTAGGGTTGGGGTGTAATTTTATTCTGATTTTAGTTCTATTACGAGCTCGGGAACTGTCTGTGTTAGCCAAGTGAATATATATACTCCCTGCCCATAGGATTCAGTCCCTTTACACAACTTGATGTAAAGTGGGCAAACGAAATCAGTTATCTCCATATTGGTACACACACTTCTGAAGCGCCCTTTTTTTGATTACACTTGCAATTAATTTTGGTAATTTCAGGTTTGGGATATCTAGAAATTCATTTTCTCTATTTCATGCTAACATGATTCATTCTTGAAGTGTTTTTGGTAGTGCCATTTCAAGTTGCGGATTTTTGCAATTGATTGGAAATTTAGAGGGACAAAACACTGAGTTGTCTCAATTAAATACAACTTTAAATTAAGTTGTTCAACACAGGAGCTAAAGTCAAATGTGTTTTTTACCAGTATATTACACTGTTATACTACTACGTTTTTAATAAATTTCTGGGTACTACCGTAGTGTGTGTACCAGGTTAGGGTTTGGCCATGATTTTATTCAGATTTTATAGGTTTCAGTCCCTTGACACAACTTGATGTGAAGTAGGCGAACAAAATTAGTTACCTTTGTACTGGTACACACATTTCTGGACCCCAAGTTTTCTCTACATGAGAGTAGTCACTTTAGCTTGTTTTTCATTTTCAATGGCCATGTTATTTTCAAATCAGAATTTATTCAACTTTTGTGTTAACACTAACAGTATATCACGTTTATAAAGTTGTTGAATTATATTTTCTCCAATTTTAGAGTTCACTCAATTGTGCTGCTTTTGCTGCTGGAATTGTAGAAGCTGTATTAAATGATTCCAATTTCCCTGCAAAGGTAAAAGAACTAAATTTTAGTGATAATTATTTCTGAATTGCGAATTAAGGCTGTATCGCGTCTCTCGTCACAATGTATATTTTCGGCATGTGTAAAAATAAACGGACCTCCTGAAGTATGCGCACCAAGATGGCGCATAACCTGAACTCAGGTTGTGGTTAGGGTTCAGGTTATGCGACATCTTGGTGCGCATACTTCAGGAGCACCAAATAAACTACTAGCTGACTGATTTTAGATAATGGCTCAGATCTTAATCAAAGTGTATCAAGTAATTCATATTTAATTGCTTAAATGTAACTTAGGGTATGTCCTGCGTTGTGGTGTTAGAAACACACTTGTCATCTTACCCTTTTATCTCTAACAAGTATAAAATACATGTTAAATTGAATGAGTGATGCCTTTGTTAAAGAAGCTTGCTGGAATCGTCGTAGTTGTAGATTTTACAGCTGGTCATTGTGAATTCCCTCTGCATCTTTCTCATTTCAAAAATTTTCAATGAGATTTAATGGATGTTATTTCTCCCCCTCCTGTCCATACCAAAACAATTTTATTGCTGTTACTTTTTTACCGCATTGATGACTATATTTTTCGGTCGACAAAATAATAAATCTCTCTCTCTCTCACTCTCTCATTTAGTAAAAGGCATGAGAACAAAATTTTGGTAATCTCTTGTAATATGATGCCTATCAACACTTTTTGCGCCATACAAGGCCAGTGATATGTTTGAACGAATCCAATACTTCAAGAGCTTTGAGTGCTTGATCATCAATTTGCCCTATTTGAGATCCTTCCCTTCATTTCAGGTCACAACTCACTGGCACAAGGGAACAACATTAATGATAAAGTTTGATGAAAGTGTAATAGCAAGAGACAAGGCCACATGATAACTTTAAAACAAATTAATTGAAAGCTATCTCACTGTTTCTAAATGATACCTCTTTATCTATAAGAGGTGCCATACGATTCGCTATTTCTGATTTACTGAATCTCATACCATTTCCTTTATAAAACTATAGATGCGCCAAAAAAGCCTCAAAAGTTATGTACTGATACCTGATAAACTATAGTTCTTGGGAGAAGTCACAAAGGTACATGCTTCTGAAAACAAATAACTGGCTAACTAATCAACATGGACTGGTAACCGAACAAGAGGCCGTAGTTCGCCATATGGTTAAGCCGTCTTATCGACTTTCCTTTCCCCCGGGATAAGTATGTAAATCCTATCCTAATATACTAAGTTAACTTCACCATTCGGTTACGAGTGTGCGTATGCAGCCTTCTTAAACCTATAATGACTACATACGCCACGCCATATGTACTTGTGTAGACGCACTTCAAGATTTTTATTATCGATTAAAACTATTTATTGGAATAAACTTCGACCAGAAGAAATTAGACGTTTATTGAGAATATTAGTATAAAAAAAGTTATTTTCTTCGCATTATGCAAAATCCCAATCCCTCTTGGTCTCCCGTTTATTTCTTCCACTGATGCATAACAATATCAAACGATGCTTTTATTGTCATCCAACCCGGAAAACTAAATATGAAAGTTATAACGTTATGTTTGTTTTCCATTATTATCAATTAAACCGAATTATTTTATTTTTTCTTTGCTTCTAGCAAATACTCCATATTATCCTATAAATTCACTTTTGGCCGCAATCGGCGTTATGCGACGAGGAATTTTACAGTATCTAAAATCTAAATTTTAACTGGTATTTAGTTGGGGTTGGTAATGCTAAATATTTTTGCCAGATCGAACACCTTGAAAAATTGGTTCCATTACATTTGAACCCACGACAACTGCAACTGCATGCCATTGCACCTATGGAAATTTTTTTGGTTTTACGGATATTTGTACTCATACTAACCTAACCCATGGGTTTTAGCACCCGCATATTGATTGAACCCGCGGATATACACATGGGTTCAAATGTACGGTCACCTGAAAAATTTTGACTGGAGGAGGACAGACGTCGATGGCTACTCATTGTAATGCTCCAGTTTGGCCGCTTCTACCGCGTAATTTTATTTTCTTCCATTAGAACCCTTTTTCTTTCAGTTTGGGTGCTTTTTGCTCCGAACAAGACTAGATAAAATCAGTCACTGGTATCGAACAATATCTCAAAGAATCTCTCTACAGACTTACTTCGCTGTCGAAGTTATCCAAGGATTATTGATAGCAAGGCAGAAAAAGTCAGTTTTCGTTAAATCGTTCAAGAATAGAGTAGCATTGTGTTGGAAAAGGCTTATGTAAGAATTCACGTCTTACTGCAAATGCCGCAAAATTGAAAATTTTAAAGGGAGAGTCATCTTCTCTGGTCGTTTATTTTTTTAACAAGTTGCTGTTTTTATTGTTCATTGTATATTTGGTATCGAAGGTAGGGCTGGGATTGGTGAACCGATTTTAGATGGTTAACGGTTACGATTTATTTTACCCGTTAACTGACATCTTAGGTCGGTGGTTCCCAAACTGGGGTACGTGAAGCACTTTCGGAGGGTTCGTGAAACAAATCTGTAATATGGCTAATAGCTTGATAATACAAAAATTGAGTGCTTAAACTTGCAAAAACATATTTGTTGCTTCGCAATCACCGCTGGAGACGCTGACTCTTCACTTTGTTTCGATCACGCTGCCCCATTATGATGTCACAGAGCCATGGGTCCGTGATATCACAGAGAGAGTTCGCCACCACAAGTTTACTAACTGCTGACGCTGGTCTTTTGCACGTTTACCAAATATCGAAACAGACTGGGTGTCACACATATCAATAGAGTTGCGCTTTATATTCTTTTGTTGGTTTTACTATACGGCGCATTGATTTTTGTTGTGAACTTTTAATGTTTTGTTTAGGTGCACAAGGCCGGATATCATTAAAATATTGCAAGGGGTTCGTCATAGAATTTTTTTTAAAAAGTTTGGGAACCACTGTCTTAGGTACAAATCATCCTAATAATGTACAATTTCTTCAAAAATGATCACGTCATCGCAAATTTATCTCCTGTGGCATTTAATTTGAAAGAATATTACTAACGGTATTGGTAAGGACTCAATAAATGTGAACAATAATTGATAATAAGTACCAACTACCGTACTACCAAGATTGCCGATTATGAAAATTTGACAATGATAAATTCAGTTTTCCGTCGAAAAATAGACTATATTCGATTTCATCCAACAGGTGCGCAGTTGATGCTGTTTTTCTTTATGATATCCTAGAGTCGAATTTGCACGTCGAACACACGATTAGAGATGTACCGATACCACTTTTGTCACCGATCCGATATCAGCTAAAAACGCCGATACCGATACGCTGATACTACAAAAAGGCCGATATTCCGATACCGATACTATGTAATTATTACTTAATTAGGTATGCTGTGTAGGGCGGACGAGTTGAAACAATGGTCTTTGAGCGTTGTTCATAGTACACATTATTTCAGATCGAAAAAAGAGATATATCACATAATATGAAATTGATGTTTGGTGTCCATATGCTTTAACTGATTAAGATACATTGTACAGTGACGCTAGTAATTTCGGTGTTCAATTAGAAAACTCATAAGCCAGGATGTCCAATTTGAATTTAAAATGTTAATATCGCGACCATCGAATATCGTTATTCAACATCGTTTGAAAGAATATCGAATATCGCCCACACATTCTAGCGCCAACGTTCAAATTAAAAGCATTTTACAAATATTTTGTGGTTAATAGTAATCTTCGCCGCAATAAGTCAAAGCCAACATAAAAAAATATCATTCAGCACCGACAAGATAGTGGATATTCGTTAGTGTTCGGATAGTGGCATTTTCGTTAACTGTCGACCTAGCTTTTTGACTGTTAAGTTCATTATCAAGTTTACAGCAATCATTTTGGTTTTGCTATAGGCAAACGAGTAGACCGAAAGAATAAAGACAAAGGGTCAACTCTTCTTCCTCCATCTTTGCCTGGTTTTACCTGAAAAATTACTCATTTTCGCTAAACTCTATTAAGTAGATAAATGCAGCGAAATTGCAGCAAGTACTTCTATCTCCATTAGACGTAACATTAGAGGCAAAACTACGTAATGGAGAGTAAACGACATAGAATGGTAAAATGAATTTATTAATTCATATATACACCATTTAAATTAAGAAACAATAAAACATTATTAATAAATGCAACATGTAAAATATTCAATCATATTTTAACACAATTCTGTTAGTTTTCGCCGCGCATTTGACAACTTTTCTTTATCAATTTTACCCTCTTATTTTTTGGTGTTTCGTGAGGCGAGATACCAAACCGATACCAAAAAATGGCCGATATTGCCAATACCGATACATCGGTACATCCCTAATCACGATACTATCTCGATTCGGGAATAATTTTGAGCGATAGGGGATAAAATCACCTGAAATTGCTTCGTAACCATTGTGACGTAACAATATAAATTATCACGTCAAACGTCACGCTGCGGTTAACGGTTAAAGTGTTTCCCTGAAATTCCCAATGGTAATTGTATATGTCGAAGTGGGTCAAAATGCAATTTATTGCATCTTGTGCGCTAAAGCAAAACAACCAAGTTTCAAATAAAATTGATGAAACAATCCCGGGTACATCCCTATCTTTTGAACAGCAGTTTGCACAGAATGACTCGTCAAGACTGTCTTTTTCTGTGAAAGGTTAGTTTCGGAATTGTTGGTGGACATGGGTTGTTTAAATAAGGAGTTCCCAGTTGTTTTTGACCATGAAAGAAATATGTTACGAGGTTGGCGAACTGACACGACTTACTTACAAGTAAGCGAATCCGCAGTTGAAAATCTACAATGGTGAAGTCCAGTCATTCGGACATATAAGACAAAATATCAAACTTGTCAAACACTGTACGATTGTTGCACTTTCTTTGAAATACGATAATTCTTTTTGAGTAACAATCATCGAAATTTGCCATTCACCGCTCAAATTGTATTTAAACTGATTTCGAGCATATCGCACAAATAAAAGAAGCAACTCTGCCGAATTAATTGGTCAATTTTTACGTAGAAGTATGTTCTTCAAACTCGCAGAATCTCAGCACCCGCTCGGTTTACTAATTTTTTTTATTTTGAACACCCTCACTACAGTTACGCCAACGCCCATCCCATTGGTACTTGGTGCCAAACGCTGCCTTTACAACTTCAATTCACTATCCATATTCGGATGCTTGGTGGGAAGTTCGGAGTCAGCAAGCAGTATGACTTGATATTGTAGAATGTAGATTTTACATAGTCATAGAATCCGTTGAAGCGCACGAATTCGCTGTTTATAGGTTTTAGGCTCTTGTTCCAGTTCTACAGTACCGGTATTTCAGATGGTGAACGCAATTTCCGTTCGTTCTTTATATATTTGAATATAAACATACGCCAGCAGTCTCGCACGACGGCATTCAAATCTGACATATTTCTGTAATGTACGGTATGTTTGGCCAAAGCTAGATTTCCTACGTTACGAAGAAATATTTGTGTTGCGTGTCTAGAAGACTCCAGAAATACTAAGAATAGTGGCTCTTAACTCTTTCTACAGCATTGTAGCATAATATTCGCATATGGACCCACTGATGCAAAAGCGTAGAATGAGCAGATGGTCTAACAGAGATATATAAGTCTCATTGTTGCTCACTGCAAAACCGCGAATTTGAAGTACGCCTCATCCGCAGAGGAGGTACCGTATAATAAGTTATGTATCCAAGCATTGAACCAAACTTTTATGTTGTTGGGCTCGCTGTAACAATGGTTGTATCATTGAGACTTGAGAGACTAGAGGAGTTTTATCGTCATACGAGTACACCTTTTTTGGCGCTTCAGAAGTGTGTGTACCAATATGGAGGTAACTAATTTTGTTCGCCCACCTTGCATCAAGTTATGTGAAGAGACTTAAACCTATAGGCAGGGGTTATATTCACTTGGCTAACATAGACAGTCTAGTAAGAGAATTTAAATAATGAAAATCAGAATCGCATACTACGAGAGTTCTCTTCTTTTCCCTATTTTTCCCTAAAATTTCGTACCCTGGATTCACTGACAGTAAGTAACATCTTTTAATAAAACACACATAAGAAGCAAACTCACAACTTATTATTAATATCAATACGAATTAGAATCATGCAGGTTAAGTACTGCATCAAAAAATTAATTGTATAATAAAAATATCAACAGATCAAACAATTTCACATAATAAATAATCAGCAACTGCTGTCCATAAAACCATTAGATATTTTGAGCTGCCGAAAAGATTATTGCACGAAAACGTCGAATTGATACATACTACATGCAATAATTCTGGGAGATTAAATATCTGTAAATTTATGACAGAATAGTAAATTATTAAAACCAGGTCCGCAATACCAATCAAAAGCAAGGCTTCTAATATAACTTTGATAAAGTATTTTTTTAAAATCAAGGAAGTGTCATCACAGTTGAAATTAGGCAAGAGGAAAATCAAACTAAAAAAAAATAATTATGTGAATTCATAGGCATTCCCAGGCTGTTCCTGTACCATAATAAGTTAACAAAGATTCACAATAAACTCCAGATCAACAATTACATTGAGATACTGAAAACAACACAAAAATATCATGGGACTTGAAAACAAACACTTTACACTCTAGTGGTCATAATATAAAGATGAGCGAACAAACTAAAAAAATTAAATACAGTGGCGTTTACGCTTACATGTGGTATCATTTAAGACAATGATTACTTTTAAAAGTTTGGGTAACTTAATAAGAATTCAAAACAAACAAAAAATTACGAACTTGACAGATTCTTTTAAAAGGCCAGAAACTTAAGAATATTTTTGTCATCTGAAGATAGAGTACAATTCAAACCACAAGTACGCCAGAAAAAAAAGTGGAACTTCCAAGCTGAAATCAGCCATCTATATAATCACTTAACTTTGATCAGAATGCATCTATTTGTAAATAAATACATGTACCGCAATTGTATAACAAATATTTAAAAACTCTTATTACAGAACATTATGACTTACATAACGAGTATATACTGGTATTGTATTGCACACGATTCAGTGTAAATGTATATGTTAGAAGAGAACCAAAATCATAAATGGCGGCAGTGGCAAATTAAGTATGCTTTGCAAAATATAAGGCGGTGATAGCCCTATGAATAAATTATTTTGAGCGAAAAACTAGAAGAAGTCATGGGCAATTAACTTTCTGGATGGTATTTAGAAGTAACATTGCAGTAAGTAGTGTAATCAATTTAGATTAAAAAAAATACCAGAAACTTCATAATTCATTAGTCTTGTTTAAGTGAATCGTTGATGGTTTGTTTTTGTTCGTTGCTCTCCTCTGTGATTGTGGAAAGGCAATGACCATTTAACCCTGATTTTGACTTTCTTTTCTTCATTACTTTCCTAGCTCCTCTCATAATCTTGTAGAACCAGAGAAAATTTAAAACGTCAAGCACAATGCAGGGTATTATCCATGACAACTGTAGAGCCAATCCAAGCCTGTTTACAAAAACAAAATTAAAAAATATTATTTAGTAGTATTTTAGCTTTTCATGCCAGGGTGAAATAATAATATGACCTCGAACTAAATAAGAACCAGGCAAGTTTTAATGATGTCCAACAAAACGTCATCATTTTAGAAGGTTCTATTTTTTTTTATATAAAAAAGTGATTATGTGCAATTCACCTAAACTGCTATTATAGTTTGAAGGGGGACCAGAACCTTTCCGATTCTACATTTCTCACCCACATCCTTACAATCCATGTTAAGATGGTGGATGTGGGATTTTTAACCCGGTCCCGGGCTCTCAACTTCAGAATAACCACATGTCAATTCTACATACTGTAATTGGTAGATGATACAGTGATTGTAAAAAACATGAAATAAACTTATCCTTCTACATTTAATGTACCAAGTAAAATTATGAAATGTAGTGAGATTTCGTAATACCTGGTTTCATAGTACTCAGACCCTAACTTAATTCGTTACAACAAGGCCCCAGCTTGATCTAGCACATTTTAGCATGATTAAATGCAAGGATCCTTTGATAAAATTTATCAAACAAAGAGAGTTGTTTGGCAAACAATCACAGGTCCAAAGTTCACATTCCATAACAGTGCTGACATTTCAGTGCTGATAATTTATACGTCTATGCAGATGTTTGCAGAACTATGTTAACTGGGTTCTTAGTGTTGATTTATATGTGCATTTATTACATTGTTCCAGAGGATATTCTTCTACAAATGACTGTCACATACCGATCATATGCCTCTGTTCCAACCGCCGCATATACAAGATAATAATAAACCGGCATCACTGCGATTCGAAACAGAAAGAAGGTTCCAGCAAGAAATAATCCATTGTAAAAATATATCTGTGAATTTTTTCTCCCCGTTACATCATAATACCATCTGAATGAGAAAACATATTGTATTTCAGTTAGAGATTGATTTTTATTATTATAATAAATTGATTTATTGCTTAATAATGGTTGAAAAATCAAAATTACTTGCATATTATAATTTATAAACCGGCTAATATCAGATCTTTTGCAAATATGGGTAATGCCAACTATTCTGACTTCTGAGTTCCACAGAGTAGTAATTTCAGACTTTTAATGGAGATAAAAATTCAAACTATCTACAGGAAATCTAAAAGCATGGAGTATATTGCGTGTTCCTAAAGTCTATTAAAAAAGGGTTGCATGGGCCCCAAGTTTTTGTTACCAGAATTAAATTTTATTGAAGTTCTGAGCTGGTAACCCAGAGTTTGTCGTGAATTGTAAAATTTTCCGACTCTGATAACAACTGATAACTAAACTGATAGCAACAAGACTGAACTTTGTAAGATCAATGGCCGACTATATTCACTAAAATCCTATATACTTTTACACAAAATACTGACATAGGGGCCCAGTAGAACTTGAAAAACAATATCCATTCTCACCTGATATTAACAAAAGGAGTTGATATTTCTGCCATTAATCGAAAGTTTGCATAATAAGAGAGAACACCAAGAAGCTGTAGAAAAAATTAAAGTTGAATAAATTTATAAAATTTGAATTTAGCTTTTTAGTAAACAATTTCTTGGTAACAACATATATACATGAGATGTTTATGCTTACAGGTGTGGATGATTCACACAGACAAACAAATCAGTCTCCTAAGGCCATTTCATGGTATTTTACATAAAGTCACATTACATTTGCAGATGCCACAACTTAATGCAAAAAAATCAATGGATTGCAACCAAGGTCCTATTAACATGACATTCGCTGCCTTTATACATCAAATTATTACGATAAACACCAGGCATAACAGCCATCTACATGAAATTAACCTTGGTGACAGCTAATTAAATGTTCAAATATAAAGGGAAAATAATACTTACAATAACGAGAGAATAGGGATATATTGCGCTTATATGATGAAGAAAGGAACCCAAGTCTTTGTTAATATTTCTTATGCAGTAACGAAGATCTGAAATTTTTCAAAAAATTCTGTATGTTATTAGCATCAGCAGGAAACAAAAAAGTAAAAAAAAAATCGAAGGTCTTACCCATTAATAAATAGCCAATTGCAACTGCCAAACATGACCGGGCCAACCATGAATCACCCCTGTAAAAATTATTTGTAATTGAAATTTTGTTGCATAAAATATATATGCATTAGCCTTAGCTATGTAAACTAGAAAAAAATAGGCAAGAGGGTTGGACGTCTGCTCACTTTATAGTCGCCAAATTAATACAAAACTAGATTTTGAACTAGCACTAAGCATATTCAATTGAGAATCAACAGCCACATGATAATTTCCAATTCCAACTTTTTAAAATATAGATCAGATTTCAATATCCATACAATGGGAAAGTGGGCTGATACAATTATTCAAATTGTGATCAAAAGACTCCTGTTAGTTACAGCAAGGTAACATAAATATGTTCAATAGAGTAAGCAGTGATCAGCTGGATGAATACTTCATTGCCCCATAACAATGTGGAGCTCTGCCACTCCATTATAAATAAGTATCACCACTTTTTATCAAGGTAATCACAATAAAAAAAGATGGCAAGTGTAGCATCCTTAACACAAAGAGCTAATCACTGTGCATATCAATGTTCAACTCAATAACACATCTTTACAAAATCTCACAAATATCGTCAATGAAAAAATCTAAACTTACTCAACCATATCTTTTTTTGCCTCTTCATCAGCTACGACAATATAAACACACAAAACACTGACTATTACTGCATGCGCTGTTGAACAAGTCCTGCAAAGCAAAAATAACATATATTACGTTATTATGTAGCTTTTATTATCACATTGTAAGTATAGATTATAAATGCTTTTAGGCCACAATTTTTCAAATTGAATTGAACCAAGTAGAGTTGATTTAATTCTATTATATGAAACCTGAAATGCACAACTAAAAATTAGACATGACACATGATCATGAAAGCATAAATACCTTGAATGAAATTCCCCTTTCTTTTCTGTAGATAAAGCATTGTATGCTGGCAAAAATTGCGCAACGTAGGGGCTGAGATATCCACTTATCCACTCAAAAAAAATGAAACTCGCAATGACTTGTTTTACATGATGTCCTGCATCTGTATGGAGCATTTTAATTGACGTTTTGTTGCAAGTGCTAATGCAAAAGACAGAACACCAAAGTGCACGATGCACTGAGAAGTTGACCTATCTTTGTAATAGCCTGAAATTTTCTGTAAAAATGAGGAATTAAAATCGGTGAAGAACAAACTTGGCATCAAATACACAAATTGCATATAAAACGACACAGATTATTCTTATCAATTCGAAGCTACACTCTGTACTTCTGGAAAGATATTAAAAAATACAAGCTCACTGCATCTGGGCCTGTATTGATTTTAACATTTAACACATAAAGATTATTTTATTGATTTTGAATTTTGGCTAGTCAGCTGGTACGGAAAAGAGAAAATATTTATTCTGACTTTGAAACTTAAGAAAAAATCAGGAAAATGACAGTGATGAGCATGATTGTGCATATCATTGAAACAAAATACATAATCAATACGAAAAATTGAAGAATTAAGAACAATCAATAAATTAAGAATAAAAAATAGCTTGTTGCATTTCCCAATCATTAAATAAACCATCTGCTGCAATACAGCATTCCAATTGGCATAATCTACCAGCTTATAAAAAAATCTAATCTTTAAAATCCTGTAAAAACGTATCATTCTTGAAATAATTTATAACTTACTATATATTATAGACTATAAATGAAACAAAAATCTAACATATTCATCTCAAGTTACATATATTAAAATTATGAAACCCTCTACTACAATTTACTTTTGTTTTCCTTCAACATTTCTGAAACCATTCGGCGAAAGAACTTCACCATATTTCCACTGTTAGAAAAATTCTCCTGCTTATTAAATATGAAAGATGAATAAACATTAAGCATTATTCCTGTTATTCCCCATATTTTATAAATTTTTTCACTATTGAATAGCATTTTTAAACTTTCACAGTCTCTGCTTGGAAGTTCTGCTGCATATTTTTGACAATTCCAAAAAAATTTTAAAAAACTATGTTCTTGGCCTTTTACCGTAAAATAATGAGTTTGCCCTCCTGATAAAAAAAACTCGAAAGGCACAGCAAATATACTTTTAACTTCATGTTCATTTATTTCCAACTTTATATCTGTGATGTTATTCACAAAGCCCACCACTGGAGTGATAATTACTTTAGCTACGGAGCTAGGTACAGGCATAATCGCCCCTACAACTTGCACATTTTTTCTTTGCAATCCAATTTCCTCTTCTGCTTCCCGAAGAGCTGCATCAATATAATTTTCATCTTCATCATCTACTTTTCCACCGGGTAATGCAACGTCTCCTGGATGTGTTCGCAAATGATGTGATCTTTCTGTCAATATCACATGCGGTTTGCCATTGTATTGAAATAACGCTATCAATACAGCAGCTTTTTTAATGGGCAAGTCATGAATGCTACTCAATATTTCAGAATTTTGTTCAGTTAATTTTTGTATTTTTCTAGATTCCTTTTCAATATCATAAATCCAGTTTGCAAAATCCATATTCAACAAAAATATCACCTTGGCAACATACAGACATGTGCTCAAGCAGGTACCCTAAACTATTACTGTATTAATACCCTAATTCTGTAATTGGAAAACAATATAATTGCTGAATTGAAAAAAAATAGGTACCGGTATTCAATGACAAAAAGATGTACCTTAACTAACCTGGGAAGTGGGAAAACCTTAACGAAACTGCCAAATGACTGTTTCTGTGGGACTGCCGATAACGTAATACATTAAAATATTGGTTAAATATATCAGATACAGAGATAGCAAGATCGAATCTACTCAGAGAAATTGCTATTCCAGTTTCCATTTCCTACCGTCAGACCGTAGTGAACAGCTAGCACATTACCAACACCTTATTCCTGTATTCTGTGATTGCCAATTTTCGACGCGAAATTCGCGATGTTTCAACTAAAGATTTCAGATTCCAGCGCTTTCTTTAAGCTCCTGATAGTAGAACAGAGCTTCAACATTTCACTTTCTTCTCTCGTGCAAACTTTCGGGGAATTGGTGAACCATCGTCAGATTGGTGGTGCCAAATTGACTATAAATTTAGTTTATAGTCACTTTGGGTGATGCGAAGGAGTGCAAAGCACCAACTTCATTCAACTTCAAAATTACGGTATGTCTTCATCAATGAGCATATATATACAATGAGTGGAAACTTCCAAATATTTGCTCATTAATCCATTATGCCATGCATTTTTTACGTCGTCCAGCTAAATGGTTCGTTGCATATGGAGAAAGCATATCGCTCGCTGCAAAAATCCTTTGCTTCGGCCGCGCCGGGTGCGAAATTGGCCGTATTGAGGCTTTTAATTTTTCGATTCGTGTTCGGTTTTGGGTTTCGAAGCATGGTACGTTGAAAGCATACTAACTATAAGCATATGCTTATTGGGAATGCATATATATTAGGCAGGAAACGTAGCTATAGCACAGAATATGAAGTCAAGTGCGGTAATTTCTAATTATAGCATGGAATTTAGGTACATATTTATCCAGGGGAAAGCAATGGAGATAAGAAGGCCTAAATGTAAGGCGAACCACGGCTTCTCACAATCATAGTTTATAAGGTGCTCCATACGAATCCCCAGGGCTCCCCTATCTTAAATTACTCTGTCAGTCTGGGATATCTTGACATTAAAAACGAAGACAAAAATTCGAAGAATAGCAGGGAATCGGCTTTCCTCTCCACCTGGGTAAGTATGTTAACCTCATTTTCATATCAATGAATACAATGCCTCACGTCCCCCTTTACATGGGTCGCATTCCGTTTGGGAAACTTTTTTATGCGAAACTTCTTCCACAAAAAAGCAGCACCGACGTTTACAGTCGCGCATTATGGTTTCGTCAGAACTATATTATTCTGTGTATTATCACTGCAGCGCAATTAACACCGCCAGACTTTTTTTTATCTCTACGACATGTTATCTTTTTTAGTTGGCGCTAATAATGATAAATAAGAATGCGTGATTGTTATTCAGTAACACGCATGTAACCGTCGTTTAGTTAGGGCGTTCAAAATGAAAGAAGAGTTATAAGCTAGTTTAAGGACATTCTCTTATATTTTAATACTAATACAGGGCGCATTAAAAGCAAAATAGAATTTCTTAACATAAATTTACAACGAGTTACGTAAAATTTACCGACGGCTATCGCCAACAGGCAGAAACGATGAATGTGAGAATTTTTTGTTTTGTTTCATTTTTGCGCCATCATATTTTTCAATTTCTAAATTTGCGTAAATCGCGTCAACATCGTTTTTGTAAATTTAGAAACGTTGAATCAGATAAGCAAGGCATGTGAATGAGGTATTCTATGCAAATTTCCCGAGATATTGTGGAGAAATAATATTTTGACTACGTAGATTTGCCATTATTGCTGATTTATTCACGTGTTAAGTATCAGTGTTTGAAACCAAAGCTGAGTTACGTGAATACTCAACAATTTGCGGAGTTTTTTAATTATTATTTAATACGAAAGTAACACGGAAACGATATAAAATTAAAACATAAAAATGTCAACTATCAGCTTCACAAATATCGCAACCCGGGGTCAGTAAGGATAATATTGTTCGCTCAAAATTGGGACCGTAACTGTGATACAAATCCTACACAGAAGATAAAAATCAGAATAAAATTAATTTTTGTTGTGAATGCATTCCTTAATAGTTGTCTTTAACATCTTTGCCGATATTCGTTAAAATATTCGAATAATTTTATATAAAAAAATACGATTTTGCCCACCAGTAATCACGACGCATGTAAATAATCATTGAATGACAATAAAAAATCAATTTTATTAGCATCAAATTCCAAGTAAAAGTTCCACATTTCATGCATTCGATCGGCGCTACACGCGAGCGTGTTTTTGTATATATTCACCAAAATCGGCAGAGGCGAGCTACTCGTAACTGTGGAATTTCGCTGTGAACGACGCATTGTTTTTAATTTATTACCCGCCTTACGCCGTCATAAATTATATGAAGGACCGTTAAAAGTAAATAATATATAGGCAAAAATCATAATTGATAACAAAATGTACTCTAAATCAGGGCTTCTCAAACTAGGGGCCGCGGCCCTGAAAGGGGCCGCGAAACGAATTTTAGGGGCCGCAAAGAGAACACCAATTTTACACAAAGTACCATATATATTGTACTTTTTTCAGACTCCAGTGAATTCGAAATACAATTATTATACAAATAGTGTGAAACAAAGATTTCAAGATTCCGAGTGAATACATCATCATAATACCGTGTTTTCCCGAAAAAAAGACACTGTCTTCATTTTTCTTTCGAAAATAACACTAGGGCTTATTTTTGGAATAAAGAATAATGAGATTTTTTATTATAGAAAATATGAATAGGCCTACCGATTTCCGTTTACTTATAAATAGCACGTTTTTATTTAAAATAACTGCTACATATAAACTATTAACCATTTAAAAAAAGTAGAAAATATTTCTTGCTATCGACTGGGACGCAGTGGTTCTCGAACTTCATCGTATTGTGATGCCCTTCAAAATATGCTCAAGTTGCGACCCGTGAAAATACGTATTGATACCTTTCAAAAGACCTTTTTCGCAATGAGTTTCATATAAACGAACAAACAAAACTTAACGACAGTCAGTGAAATCGCAATTAATGGGCCTTGGTAGAAAAGACTGTTGTGTATAAATGATTAATCTCAAAGAAGATGGGAGTGCGCAACGCTTTTTGAACCAAGGACGAATAATTTTTATCTACAGAAAACCGAATTTCCAGAATTAAACTTTTCTATTATAGCAACATCACGGGTAAGATCGATTTAATCTTTCTTTTTTCCAGTGAAAGTAGAAGATATGGGTTGTTTGAAAGGTTCACGAATCACGAAATTTTGCGACGTCCTAGCAAAATTGAAACGACGCACTTCCACGAGATTGAGTCAAAAAAAAGGTTGCGCTATCGACTAAGTCTTTTTTTAAAAGCGAGCGCTTTTATTGAAATCTTTTTTAAAATTCAGGCTTGGTCTTGTATTCGGGGAAACACGGTAGAATGATCGCGCTTGCATAACAATGCATATTCTGATCGTGAAACCCGATTTGCGGTTTGCATAACAATCACTAGGCTAGCGGTTTCCGAAGACGATTTGCTGAGTGCGCCTCGAAACATATTACACATCATATTTATTCTAAATGTTTATTGTTTCAAATGACGTGTTATGAATCAAAGTCATTTTGCCGTTCTATGTGTTTACTTTTTGTACGTAGGGTCTGTTGTTACATAATATAAGAGATAAACCCTACATGCTGCAATTTCGTATAGGCTGCAGTTTATTTATTTGCTGAACCAAGTTCATCAAACTTGAGTGATTTCTTTAGCATTTTAAGGAAAAACCAGGCAGAGATAAAAAAAAAAAGAAACGTTAATTTTTTGCCTTTATTCCTCGGGCCTACATGATTAAAACCCTCAAAAGACATTTAGTACATATTAACGATGACAAAATTGTGTTTTGTTTCGAGGCAGTATATTTTTTGTGTAGGTGCGCCATGAGTTTTTTCCCTGATAATTTGGCGTCGCCTAAAATGCTGCCTTATGCTAAGTTTGATCAATAAGAGTGAACAATTCGAGATAAGGACCATGCCGTCGGTAGCCACACATCGTAATTCATCATTTAGGCCTGTATAAACAAACATACATTGATCCTTGCTATGCAGAAAAAAGGATTCGTACTAGAGATGGGACGAGTCCGGCATTACAGAGATTCGAAGAATCCTACAATGTAAAAGTAGAAAAAACACGTTTTTGACCATACTACAGCATCGCGCGCTCACAAACATACGTCGGATCTCATATTTTTTGCCTAATGGTTCCGCAGCTGTTGAATCAATATAAAAATATATTTTTCTTCCTTTTTGGCTGCCATAATACATTAAACGTGGGTCAATGTGCGCCTTGGCTGTGAACTGGATTTCCAGCCCACCACCTTGCGTCAATTCTGGGCGGCTGTTTAGAAATTCTTACATGTAAAATAGAAAAATAAAAAGCTTTTGACTACAATGCTTTCCCATAATTCCAGATATATATAACCCTAAATTTACTATGTCGCGTGTGCAAATGGTAGAGAGATGCCATGTATACCAAAAAGGATAGATAGTTTGAAGGCGACTGGCGCATCATTGTTATATGCTATCAATAGTTTTTACCTTGCGTTATATTATCTGGATATCTGTCGTCGTTTTGATTAGGAGTGTTTATAATACACACGAGTGATATTGTTAAATATCTAACCTTGAATTTCAACTAGTTAAGGTATGTAGTGAGATTTATAGGGGTAAAAGTACAAACATAAGCGTAAATCAGTAAAAACAGAATTGATTATAGACTCGGTAAAAACGACGTGGACTCGAAATCGAATCCGAGTCCGGATCCCGGCCATTACACTGAATAATTGAGAAACGTTAATCTGAATATGCTTGGGCCGCGAAAAATTTTAATATAATAAAAGGGGCCGCGAGCTCAAAAGTTTGGGAAGTGCTACTCTAAATAACATGATAAAAAAAAAATTTTTTGTGTAAATTCACAAGACATGAAAAAGGCAAATTTTAA